GCCAGGTCCCCGAACTGGACGACTCGTATGCAGTCCCCTCAACACCTTAAAATTGATTATGGGAGTAGAGCTGACCTGGTCCTTGGAGCGTAAACAGTTTTGTCGGACTCAGTGGAGGAGAGATCTTCCATGAGATGATGCTGCGTCTTGGCGTCAAGCATGTCTGTGAGTCACGCGTCTTTTTTCCTTCGGTTTCCCGATATTCTTCAAGACCATAAGGTTGACCCACCACTTTTAGTCGGTTACCCTGGAGGTGCCATTCTTCCCGTTTTCGATGCCATCTACAACTCCAAACACTTCGACTTCGTCCTCCCGAGACATGAACAGGGCGCCGGACACATGGCCGAAGGCTACGCCCGTGCCTCTGGAAAGCCCGGTGTCGTCCTCGTCACCTCCGGCCCTGGAGCCACCAACGTTATCACCCCCATGCAGGATGCCCTCTCGGACGGTACTCCCATGGTCGTCTTCTGCGGTCAGGTGCCCACCAGCCTGATCGGTACCGACTCTTTCCAGGAAGCCGATGTTATCGGTATCTCCCGTGCTTGCACCAAGTGGAACGTCATGGTCAAGTCCGTCGCTGAACTCCCCCGTCGCATCCAGGAGGCTTTCGAAATCGCCACCAGCGGCCGCCCCGGACCCGTCCTCGTCGATTTGCCCAAGGATATCACCGCCGGTATTCTCCGTAAACCCATCCCGATGAACAGCACCCTGCCCTCTCTCCCCAGCGCTGCGACCATGGCTGCCCGTGAATTGAGCATGCAGCAGCTCAAGGGTACCATCAACCGTGTGGCCCGCCTTGTCAACATCTCCAAGAAGCCCATCCTGTATGTGGGTCAGGGTCTCCTTGCTCGCCCCGACGGCCCCCAGATCCTGAAGGAGCTGGCCGACAAGGCTTGCATTCCGGTCACCACGACCCTCCAGGGTCTGGGTGGATTCGACGAGACGGACCCCAAGGCCCTGCACATGCTGGGCATGCACGGATCTGCCTATGCCAACATGGCCATGCAGGAGGCTGATCTCATCATTGCTATCGGTGCTCGCTTCGATGACCGTGTGACCGGAAACATCTCCAAGTTCGCCCCTCAGGCGAAGCTTGCTGCCTCGGAGAACCGTGGTGGTATCGTCCACTTCGAAATCATGCCCAAGAACATCAACAAGGTTGTCCAGGCCAACGAGGCTGTTGAGGGTGACTGTGCTGAGAACATCCGTCTCCTCCTGCCCCACGTCGAGGCTGTTGCTGAGCGTAAGGAGTGGTTCGACCAGATCAACGACTGGAAGGCTCGGTTCCCCTTCTCCCTCTATGAGAGGGAGACTGCTGAGGGACCCATCAAGCCCCAGGCTGTCATTGAGAAACTCAGCGATCTCACTGCTCACATGAAGGACCGTACTGTCATCACTACCGGTGTCGGTCAGCACCAGATGTGGGCTGCTCAGCACTTCCGCTGGCGCCACCCCCGTACCATGATCACCTCTGGTGGTCTTGGAACTATGGGATACGGTCTCCCCGCTGCTATCGGTGCCAAGGTTGCTCGCCCTGACGCTCTTGTCGTCGATATCGACGGTGATGCCTCGTTCAACATGACCCTGACCGAGCTCACCACTGCTGCTCAGTTCAACATTGGTGTCAAGGTTCTCCTCCTGAACAACGAGGAACAGGGTATGGTGACGCAATGGCAGAACCTGTTCTACGAGGACCGCTACTCGCACACTCACCAGAAGAACCCCGACTTTGTCCCGATGGCCCAGGCCATGGGTGTTGCCGCGGACCGCTGCACCAAGCCCTCGGAGGTTGAGGAGAAGCTGAAGTGGCTGATCGAGCAGGACGGCCCTGCCCTTCTGGAAGTGTTCACTGATCGCAAGGTGCCTGTGCTTCCCATGGTGCCCGCTGGCTGTGCCCTGCACGAGTTCCTTGTTTATGACGAAGGTATGCACAATGATTGATCTGATTGGGCGAATGAATGCTAATATAATATTTGCAATACAGCCAAGGAGAAGGAGCGTAAGGCTCTGATGAAGAAGCGGAAAGTTCCCGGTTTCTAAGTGAGCCGCGGATGCTAGCGATGAGTTGCCATGCCTGTTATTTGAAAGCTGCAAAAGTGCCCACCCATTCCTGATCTCTTGATATCCATGGCGTTTCTGGCAGGTTCTAAAACGCTAGCGGGTGCCGGTCTGCGCCCCGGAGACAAGCTGCAGCGGTCTACTTCGACCAGAGAACCCTGAACTAGCATGGTGCAGGACCGTGGAGAGCATTCTATAGTAGCTCCACTCGATCCTGTACTGGGGTCCTGAGCTGAAAAGACCTCTGGCTGGGCTTGGACCTCCTTTCCCTTTTATTGCTTTTTCCATTTTCACCGTTTGCATTATGGCTTGCGCGCAAAAGTTGCCTCAAATGTTGTTGTGGGAAATCCAGCTGTATATAATCCTTATGTTGCTGTAATCTTTTGTATGACCTTGGAACTACTATCATGAGGCATTGAAAAGGGATGAGTGTTCCTGGATGACGCGATAATCTAGTGCTGACTGGAGCAGCGACGTAGATTATCCTAAGTGACTAGTGAGCAGCTAGTTTATCTACTATCTCCAAGTCATCCAGATTGCTGCATCCGCCATGATGGCGCAAAGTGAGGTGATCGGTCTCGGCATCACGTGAGGGTCGAACAATTGGGGTCCGCGGAATGCGCGCCTTTATGTTTCGCCGCCGAACAGCCGCGGTTCACATCCGAAGGTCACTAGCGGGGGCTGGGAAGTGGGAAAGGTAGTACGGAGTATCTCACTAATTAAGCCTGGTACTGAGAGCCTGGGTCGACTGAGACACCGTCGGACTTGGTTGCTGACTGACTGAATTATTTGCTTCTGCTCTGCTGCTTCTGCTGGGGCAGAGTGCAGATGTCGGAGCTGCCTAATAGGGCTGTGACTCTCAACTCTCAACTCTCTCCCCTCCGTTCTCGCCTCCAGTTCTCTCTCTTTCTTTCTCTCTCCCACCATCTGGTGACTGACGCAACTTGACTAACCTCCCTCTCCACACATGATGCAGTGCTTGTTTCCGTAACTCCCCGTCCACTTCTCTACTACTGTTGTATCCACCCCTCTTGTGTCTCCCACATCATGGCCTCCCTCCCAGGTTATTCGGCATCTAGCCGACCACAGTCATCTGATAATAATACTACCTCCATTACCCAACAGAATAGCGTATCCACGAATATAACCAGCAGCGCTTCATCGACAGAGTCGTTTGAAGCTAGCGATACCGTCCTGCTCAACGGCACCTCGGATACCGCCACCGCCCATGGCTCCCCGACAAGTCCGACTCTCGCCGATGCGTCTGGTGAGGAGCCACGCAGATGTTGGATTTGCTATACAGATGAGACAGAGGACTCTCCCCTTAATTCACAATGGCGTTCGCCATGCCCATGCGCCTTGACCGCCCACGAAGCATGCCTGCTCGACTGGTTGGCGGATCTCGAGAATCCCCGATCGCGGAGGCGCAACGGCCATGACGCAAAGATGCTGTGTCCGCAATGCAAGACCGAAATCATCGTTTCTCGTCCCCGAAGCTATATTGTGGATATAGTAAGACTGGTTGAGCGCCTCGCGGGTCGGATGGTCCTCCCAGGAATGGTTTTCACGTTAGGAGCAACCGTGTGGGCGGGGTGCTGTGCGCATGGAGTATATTCGATGTATTTTGTCTTCGGGACGGACGAGGCTCGCCAGATTTTGGAGGAAACAGCTGATGGGGCATGGAATTCGGGGCTGAATCTAGGGTTACCCCTCATCCCGCTCGTGTTGATCTTCTCGCGCACCCGGTACGCAGATGGTCTCCTTCCTGCCATTCCCGTGATGTTCTTTGCCACACATCAACCGGGACAGGAGCTGGAGTTGGATCTTTGGCCGCCCAGTGCGGCAGTGACGTTCGCCGCTCTTCCATACCTAAAAAGCTTTTACGGCAGCGTCTACGAGAGAATGTTTGGCAAGTTGGAGCGGAGATGGATTGCGGAAGTACAACCGCGCTCGGATGTCAATGAGTTTGACGATAATGCGCCCCCCGAACATCCCGAGCCAGACCCGCCTAACGATGACAATGGGGTCCTAATGGAGATAGATTTGGAGCTACGCATGGGCAACGAGGACGGGCCGCAGGGCTTGTTTGGCTTTAATGGAGGAAATGCGCAGAATGGACAAGGGCAGAATCAGGGTGGAAACGGCCAACCCTTGGGCTTGGGTCGACGGGATGAGCTGGTAGCCGACACAAGTAGTCTGGCGGATATCATCCTCGGAGCACTTGCGTTTCCCGCCATATCTGCGTCGATGGGCGGGCTGTTGAAGTACATCTTACCCACTTCATGGACGACGCCATCTACGTTGGGCAAAGCCCGACCAGGACTGTTGCAGACCCGCTGGGGCCGGAGTGTCGTCGGAGGATGTGCATTCGTGCTGTTGAAGGATGCGCTGGTGTTATATTGTCGGTGGAAATTGGCGCAGACGCACCGACGCCGCAAGGTGTTGAACTACGATCGATCGAAGAAGCGGGTTGGGAAGACTGATCGATAGTGAGAGGGATGATGGAAGCATTTCTGGCGTTTAGGCTGATGGATTGAGATACACTCTTTGCTGGTTTTGAGCTCTTTGCGATTGATGACGAGCGATGCAGATGCCTTGGTAAAAGTGTGAATATATACCTTTTCCTTCATATGAGTCGTATGAATATTAGTATTTTTAAGCATTTTCACAAAGTAATCCAGCGAATCGATAGTAGTATGGAGTATACAACGGAATACAAAAAGGCAGAAAAACGGCGCTTACTTAGCGCGCGGCAGATAACCAACCGACCAACCAGGCTAACCCAGTAAGTCAAACCCAACTAAATCCACCTAAACTTCCGCTCCGGGGCGCAGTGTCTGTCTTCCGAACATTCTCAGAACACCACTACCACCACCACCACCCCCGACCCAACATCCCAACCCAGAAACCACCGGAGAGAAGAACTAAAAAAGAAAGGGGGCAAAAAAAAAAAAAAAAGAAATCAAAATGCGCACCCTCTCCCCCGTCCTCGCCTCCCTGGCATCCGTCTTCCGCATCCCCATGACCCGTCCAACCCTGACCAGCAACACCATCACCAACACTCTCCGCCAATCCCAAACCAACCAATTCAGCACAACCACCACGCTCCAAAAGCGAAAGGAGTCCGGTTTCCGCGGCGACCGCAGAATCAGTATGCCTCCCCCAATTCCAATCCAACCCACCTACTAACCACAAAATAATCCAATAGCATTGATCCGCTACTTCCTCCACCACCCGCTCACTCCCCGCCCATTGCGGTTCTCGCGCACCCGCTTCCTCCGACACTGGACGATCCACCGGGCATGGAACCTCTACCAGGGCCAGCAGCGACGGAAGCACGAGCTGGAGCTGCAGAGACAGTGGCAGGCGATGCAAGCCGCCTGTGAGGAACTGCGTACTGGTGCGGGCGATGGCGGGAAACTGTTCCGCAAGAGTATGATTAAGACGGGTGTGTTTAGGGATTTGGTCCCTATTGAGTATGCCCGTTTGCAGACGGATGGGCCGGCTAGGGAGGGGTGGAATCATGAGTGGAAGAGGGATTAGATGGTTCCTATCTCCTCCGGAGGATAATCTCTCCGGAGGAGAGGTTCTTTGGGGAAGAAGGGGGAAATGTGATGGAGGGGGTTTGGGAATGGGGTAGAAAATAGAGGGGGTTATTTGAGGGTATGTGTGATATTACTATTGTCTATGTTCTGTATTTGTCTTTTGTATAATATGTTACTATATTATGGGTTGTTCTCGGTCAGTCTATTGTGTAGGTACTGTGTGTCTACTGTGTCTACTGTGTCTGTAGTATAGACTGGTGGATACAATTTCAATACAGGTATAACCGCTAGTGACAGTAAGACACAGAAGAAGGCAAACAACACTGACAACAGGCAAAGAAGACACTGAACAAGGCAAACACCAAATGAACGAATGTCACCAAGCGTGTCCCCCCGGAGGACCAAGGGTATGTCAACATGCGAAACTTGATATTCGAACACAAAAGAAGAGGCCCTCCCAAACGCCGCAAATGCAAGATATATCGATCAACATCCGTCACCTTCACTCTCCCTTTTCTTCGAAATCCAATTCAAACTGGCGCACGCGTGTCGCGCGGCAACTGCAAGTGCAACATGCTCGAAGCGCATAGCAAATGAACCCATCATGGCTGGCATGCAAATCGCTGAAATACCATCAGAGTCGGCGACGTATCTATCGCAAAGTCGTCATTTCCCCATTATAGCACAATACAGCATGAGCTTTTTCGCTTGTCGAACGTCAGGAGCGCGGCACGCGTGGCCGCCTCGAATACATCGTCGACGCCCTCGCCGGTTAACGAGGAACACTCGAGATACTTGCGAGCTCCGATTTGCGTTGAGATGTCGCTTCCTTCTTTAGACGTCACGAACTTTAGCGACTTCTTTCTCATCTCCTCGACAGCCAAAGGATCTTCCCGCAGATCTTTCTTCAACCCGACAAGGATGATAGGAACACCCGGACATCGTTCGTTCGCTTCTTCGATCCACTACAATAACCAGTCAGCACAGTCCAAGGGTAACAAGATGGTCAGACAACCTTATGTTTGACGTTCTCCAGCGAGTCGGGTGTGTCCACGGAGAACCCAATAAGGATCACATGCGCCTTGGAATAAGCGAGCGGACGCAATCGTTCGTAATCTTCCTGACCAGCAGTATCCCATAGTGCCAATTGAACCGAACGGCCATCCACTCTGCAATCCGTCACGTAATTCTCAAACACCGTCGGAACCTGGTTGACACGCGACAGTCAGATGCATGCTAAGTAGTCAGCGAAGGAGGTGATAGGTACGAACATAGTGCTACAGATCAGAAACCGGTTAGCCAATGAAACTCCATCGATCAGCGCATTAGGAGAAGAGGGTTGACTTACGGTTGGAAAATAGCCCAGGGTGAAGACGCTGAGCAGACTGGTCTTTCCGCAGGCACCATCCCCGATGATCACCAACTTCCTACATGCAGGTCAACTCAATGCCCCATTCGTTCATGGCATGGATGATTGCATTGGGGCTGGCTGCATCCCCGCACCCCTCTATACGAGCAATCCGGTCGAGTGACAGCGGGTGGGCTGATAACGGGAACCAGAAATCGGCAGTAGATAACATGATGGCCTCAGGTGCACACCGGGAACCCAGGAACGACAACAGGGCGGGGAACATACCTTCGCATCACATTATCAGTCTGTTGTTGAGCCATTTTTTTCGTCAACCGGCTTGGGATCACGGATCCCTGGAATCGATGAAGCGAGAATGCACGAATGGGTCGAGGCAATGCGAGGGCGCTGACGAGCCCTGGCGGAACCCGGAACGGAATAAGAATCAGGCAGCAGCAGGCAAGGCTGGCCAGAACTGCGGTCGGGATCAATAGTCAAGGATAAGGTAAGAGGAATTCGGTGGGAAGTGTTTTTTGGAAATGCGATTTGTGGGAAGGAGGGGAGAAAATTGGAAAATAGTTGATGAAGCCCCTCCCCCTAAAAATTAAAGAATACAAGAATGAGGAGGAAGCCAGGGAAAATGGGGAGGGGGTGGATAGCTTTGCCGGGGGAATGAATGGATGGATGATAATCTGGGAGAAGTGGATTTGGGGGGCCCAGCAAAGAACTTGTCTCGTTCCTTCGGGAAGGCGGTCGAGCGTTGAGGCTGACGCTGATCCGGAAGGGAAAGAAACGAGAAAAGAAAAAGATTTGGAGGGGGGGAAATAAACGGATGGATAAAATACGCACCTTCAAATACGAATAAATACTCAACTGTGGTTAAGTCGACGGGAAGTAACTTGAGTAACTTAGCTTCACTATAACAGCACTTGATATAGAAGAGATGACGAGGCAGGGAGGAACGAAGCTGGTAAATAGATTCTGATGATGATTATGATAATGATGATACTATGAAGGAGTATTAGGAATTAGAATAGATGCACTCTTGTACCCTCACAATCCAGGCAGCTCACTCCATATATATACATGAATCAGTACGGCCTCCCACCACGCTGACCGGATGGGCACAAATAGCATCAAAATGGACGCCCAGCATCACAGCTCAACCAACCAATCCCACTGGCAGCTAAACGACTCCCCCATAGTAATCAAAGAGAAGGAGGGATCGACCCAATGATGGCCCAGCTGAAGAATCGTCACCGCACGGCCGCTTGTTACTAAGGTTAGAGATTTGTCTCAGACGTTGCAGGCTAGACGGTGGTTATTTCGCGATAGTCGCTGTTACTATTATGAGGGTGGAGAGAGAGAGAGAGAGCGCGTTGGTCCAGAAAAGAGAGGGGGATCACGCCGGGACCAAGGGGCCTGGCACTGCTGCTTACCATTGGACCATTGATCCATTTCATGGCAGTTAGTATATTTATAGCCCCCCGGATGCTCTGGCAGGGAGGGGATGCCGATAGAATGGGCAAGTCCGGTTTCCCGTTATTTTCCTTTTCCTTTTCTTTTTTTCTGTTTCTATTTTCCCCAGTCATCCTCGTGGTGGAGGAGGAGATGGTGGGATGTTTCTTTTTTGTTTATTTATTTATTCATATTTTTTTTTTTGGCTCTTGCCCTGACCCAGTCAAACCCGTTGTTGATCAAACTAATAGACACACACAAAAATGCACTTCTTTTGGGATCCACTGGATAATCGCTAACTACTGACTAGATACTACTGCTAAACTCTCAACAGTTTTCAACGGTTCCTCTCTCACCTTCCTTTCTTGAATCAGTTCCTCGTATCCCGTCTACCTCTGGAGCTGAGAATGCATGCATGAGTAGTAGTAGATTCGAAACTAGTTACGGCGCCCTAAATCCTGGCACCAGTAGTCACCCCGATCCCCTGTAAACAGTACAGCCACTTCAGGGGGTTGAGCTCCATCATACTATGGCTGAGCACTGAACAGGGCTGTCCTCGTCTCCAGTTAATGCATGACATGACATCCTACTACATTCATCCTTGGCCAGCTTTACACCCCCTAGGACATGGATAATACGACACATTATACCCCGGCACCGTGCCCATATTCTAGGCTTGAAATAGACCACTCATAGAGCTTCCCGGTGAAGGGAGTTCCCAACATGATAAATGCTTCCGAGACATCGCTATTAGCGCCGCATTAAGGTACAAAAATGAGTAGAGAGTCCGAACCCCTCCGAAAATATACATGATAAGAATAGTATGAAAAGAAGGGGAAAAAAAGAAAAAAGAAATTCTAGTCCCAATCAATCAATCAGATCTTCACCTGATCAATATCATAGACCAAATACTTCTGACCAATTCCCCAAGCTTCCAACCCTAATCGGTTATATAGTCCATAAGCAGCCCACGCCATATACTCCTTCACCCACAACCCCCACGGACTGACATCTTTTCGCTTCTTTCCGTTCTTGGCAGCCAGATTGTATATCTCCGTGATGCGCGGTCTGCGGATCGCCTCGTATTTGGCAAATGCATCTTCCAAACTCCGCTGATCGTCTTTCAGTAACCGCGATAGCAGAAACACATCCTCCAATGCCATGGACACTCCTTGGCCCGCATGAGGCTGCATCGCATGCGCTGCATCCCCGAGCAGCACCGTTCGAGATGTATGGTACTTCCCACCCAGCGGGAGCCGGAAGATGGGATAAAACCCAACAACGTCCGTCCGATTCACCATCTCCGTCAATGCCTCCGGCCATTTACCCTTGCCTTCTCCGATGATTTTCAGGATGGTGTCCTTGTACTCCGCAACCTCTTTTTGACGCCGCTCCTCCCATCCGTCTCTCGCATTACCCGATTCCGAGTGAGGGATAGGGGTTTCCCGGGAGAAGAACCAGAAGAGCTTATCGCCAGACGGAGAGCACGGCATCATCGCCAAGATACCCGTGCGAGTGAGGAAAGCGTTGGCGTGCGTACTCAGCTCCTCCGGAAGGCCTGCGCAGTCAATGACGGACTGCGTTCCCGCGATACCGGAGTATTCGGGCACAATGGACGGGTCGACATGCAGTCGACGGACACTAGAGTGAAGACCATCGCATCCGAGCAGGATATCGGCTGTATCAGTTGAACCGTCGGAAAAGGTCACGGTGACATCTGTTGGGGACTCGGTGACGGAGACAATGCGCTTGTTGTAATGGACAGGTATTTGGTCTTTTGCAACGGCGTCAAGAAGAACACTCTGAAGGTCTTTGCGACGAATACGCAAGTATTCGAAGCCAGTTTTCTGGGTTGCCCAGCGAGAGATGTCGACTTTGGCAATGTCACCGTTTGGCAAAGAGTGCATCTCCATGTCGGCGACGGAGAATCCGCGGGCAACAACTTCATCATGCAGCCCTAGTCGATGGACCAAGCGCATTCCATTTGGAAATAGACCTATAGCGCCGCCTAGGGTGGTTGGCTCCGGGCGTAACTCGTATACTGTAATGGCGATATTGTTGTTACGGTGCAGTTGGAGGGCGGCAGCCAGGCCGGCGGGACCTGCACCGATGATGATGGCCTGAATAGGCATGTTAGCTAGATCATGTAGCTGAGGAGAGTAGCCTCACCTTCTGTACAGCAGGCATATTGGTAGGATGCTTGTAAAAGTGCTTGAATTAACAGTGGATTGCTGATGAGGCCGGTCAGCCATCGCTCGTCTTATACTTCGATCTCAAAATCAGTACCTGGTAGTATCGGGTTTAGTCCCCGCGGAGACCGGGGGAGGCCGTGGAGGGAGTTACCCAAATAGGTTTAGACTGGTACCTGATACCAAGAAGTGACGATCGTTCCTGTGGCTCACCCATATCCATCGTATGTACCTGACCCGAAGCAGTGGCGATGTCTTTCTTGTTTTAAACACCGACATGATCGAGATAGAATAAGTGGACATGATTCGTGGGTGACAATGAGTTGTTGCTGTGTAGGCGCGGCCTACTGAGTCTATCAGCTTATCAGAGAATACGAAGTAACTAGCTGTGATCAGCCAAGAGCAGCAACTGACATGTGATGGCGTTCTTGCTGGACCTATCCCATTAGGCCACCTTTCCTGCGATACTATGCGAAATGATTCATGGGAACGGTATTCGTTTACTGGTGTTTATTTAATGTCTTATACACTGACGGCTAGAAGCATTTCAAGTGGGCAAATCATGAAGTAAGAATACACAGCCGTTTGAAGCTATATTCTGTCGGGTGGAGACATGACTCGAACATTTCAGGATAGGCTTATCGGCACATGAGTCCTCCGTATTAACGCTTATCAGATTCGTGGTCTCTCCCAGCGATAAGTCTAATGCGGCTTTAGGGTATATTCTTTCGTTTTCTACATAATTCATTTCCGGAAACCTCTTTCTGTTTACTTATGCGATTGCTTGTAATAAACAGTACCAGCCTATTACATGAACTGCTTAGAACCTTGGCGCGGTTTTGAATGCCACGGGCTCCCATGTTGATTCCTACTCCCTTGGTGCGGTCCAAGGAAACGTACAATGCCAGCCAAGTCTCTATTTCCTGTGGGCAACACCTCATCGGTAGAGCAGGTGCCTATAGTCATCCAGCAGATTACGTGACGTCCTCAATCGCTTCAGAGTCGCTGTCTGAGCCTGCGCTCCGTCCTGGATGAATACATGATCCAGCAGAGCCTCCGATCATTCTGAAGTACCTTGATCACGACATGGCACGGGAGTCTAGGAAGCAAAGGCTCACCAGGCAAGAAATCAAGTAAGTGGCCAAGAATGTGCTTGTAGCTTTGCAAGTGTTGCATGGAGATGGTCTTTTTTCCTAGCCCCTGAAGTTCATCCAGAGATTCCATGGGGCACTGCAGACATCTGGAGTTTTGAAGTGACGATTAGTTGACTTCAATTTCCACATCTTTGAGCCGGATGTACCAGAAAGCCACGAGTTGTACGATGTCAAGATCCTCGTGCTGCATCACCTGTGGTTTGGACCCTTCCCTGTCTCTTACAAGAAACATTTGCGATCAGGAGACACAAGAAAGTATTGTGCGCATCATGTCTGTTTCCAATAGTGAGTAAGTCTGTGTGGAAGATAAACATTCTTTGGAGCATTATCAGCAACGAAATGGATCTGCAAGATATGCCCCATGTGCAATTCTTTGGAAGGAAGTACTGCACTGGCTACGTAACATCTCTATCAGTAGCTGACACGCTCCCCAGACTAGTAGTAATTAGTGACCAAGCTAGTGCCGATATGCCTGCTTCTCGGCCGTCAACTTCACCCTTCTCACTTATTTTCCGCAGCAATTATCTCGTCAGCCATCGCTGGCAGAGTGTCTGCCATGACTTCCATCTCTCCAAATAATCCCACAATCGGCTCCTTTTCCCAGATGGTGCAGTACGCTCCTTTATACCTATATGTCATGTGTGAGCTTAGTCCTGTATCCACCGGTGATAACGCATCATTTAGTGCATCTGTACTCACCCCGCACGGCGAGCCGCCGAAACGTCCCACATATGTCCAGCAGCAAACCAGGGTTGTCCGTGCTGGGAGAGCTGCTCGAGGAGCGGTTGGTACACCCGCAAGTCTGGCTTGCCTATTCCCTGCGAGTCACAGGATTTTAGATTCTCTGCGGGCCATTCAAGTCCAGCGTTGGCGAAATAACCCCCCACTCTCGCGGCGTCCCCCGCTGTGAGTGCCCAGACAGTGAACCCAGCATCACGCAACTTAGTGACGCACTCGGCCGCTCCTGGGCGAAGTCCAAGTTTGGCATACCTACTCATGATAAACTCGAGATCGCTCTTTGTGGCAAAGCTTCGCGGGTCTTGTATGCCTGCCATCTTGAGCATTCGCCAGAAGAGCAATTCCAGACAAGTAGCGAATGTCTTATACTGGCCTGACAAGCTCAGATATGTGTACTCGCGCTCTGCGACCTCGATCCAGGTGTATCCTAACAAGGAAGGCTTGATCCCCTCCGCACGGAGCCGGTCGCCCAGTTGCGTGTCGATCGCATCGAAAAGGACGTCGTAGGAGACCAGTGTGCCGACAATGTCGAACACCACATTCTTACTGCCGGTCATGGTGCTGGTACTGGTGCTGATCTATCGTAGGGATCAAATGAGAAGGGTTGGGAGAGTGACTGAGAGTTTAGCTCTCGTTCAACTTGCCTAAGCCATTGGTCTACCTTCTTATACACCTGACTCCAAACTAAGAGACAGGGTTCATACAGAACAGATGATCAGCCACCCCACTTTTGCTTCTAGTAAACTCCAGCTTTTCCTCATACAGAAATGGGGAAAGACTCGGACTACTCCGTACTATCATCTACAACTGGCTGTTAACGCCGCGAGTCGCTATCAAAGCTCCAACCTAGCTTATCTCGGACGCAATGTCTCCATTTCGCTGCCGCTTTCCAGATACGACGGCCATAATGGCCAATGACACTTATCATACCTTTTACGACATTCACCAGGATCAACGTATAAATGCCGCTATAGGTCCTCTCTCCGATGCTCATGTAGTCAGTGGAGTAAGCTACCGTTACGATGACGAAGAAAGTGGACGTCAAAGACATCGTTGTCGACACCGACCTGGAAAAGACAGATGTTGCCAAGGGAGACAGTGAGCTCTTAGGAGCGAACGAAGATGTTGGTTACCACCGGTCGCTCGGTAGTCGTCAGATTATGATGATGACCTTCGGCGCTGGTGTGGGAACTGGCTTGTAGGACGAACCCTTCACGCTGCTGGCTCACTTTAATTGACATTAACATCTAGATGGGTCGGTACAGGTACTGCACTGAAGTATGGTGAGGCTCCCCGGAGCGAAGCAGCAAAGACTCTTGCAACTGATTGAAGAATGTAGCTGGCCCTGGTGGCATCGCCGTTGCATACACCATCACTGCGTAAGCCTATCAAGCTGCACTCAGCTGCGGGTTTGCTGACATGCCAACCTGTCATTATCAGATTCATAGTGTACTTACAGTATACCTCGATCGGTGAAATGACGACCTTTAAGCCGGTCCACGGAGGCTTTATCAGACAATGCATTGAATACGTGGAGCCCGCATTCGGATTCGCGGTCGGTATCAATTTCTGGTTCTCGGTAGGTAGCTCTGCCAAGTTAAGACGATGCATGGGCGACTGATCTCCTGGCAGTGGGTGATTTGCATTCCTGCCGAAATAACTGCAGCTGTTTCTGTGCTTGAATTCTGGCCAGCAACAGAGGTTGTCCCACTTGCAGCGTATATAACTATCTTCCTGGTAGTCATTGCCGCAGCCAATTGTTTCGGTGTCCGGATCTACGGTCATGTTGAGTATATCATGTCTTTCGTCAAGGTTTTGGCGATATTTGTCATGATTTTCTTCATGTTCATTATGACTTCGGGCGGTATCCCGGCCACACATGGCCCAATCGAATTCCGCTACTGGCGCAATCCCGGGGCATTCAACAATGGCATCAAAGGTATCTCTAAGGCGTTTGTCCAAGCGCTGTTTAGCTTCGGTGGAGGAGAGCATATCGCAGTCATTGCTGGAGAAGCCAAGGACCCCCGCCGGACCATCAAGAGGACTGTATACCCCGTGTTTTGGCGCATGTTTTCGTTCTTCGTTGTCAATATTTGGCTCGTGGGAATGTGTGTTCCTTATGACGATGAAAACCTCATCAATGGAAGTGGCACATTAGGGAGCCCGTTCGTCATTGCCATTGAGCGTGCAGGCGTGATGTGGCTAGCGCACATCATAAACGGCTTCATATTCTTGACAGTGGTTAGCTGTGGCATTACCAGTGCCTACATCGCGAGCCGCAGTCTTGCAGCCTTGTCTGACATGGCCATTTTGCATCCTTTCTTCGGCCGCAAAGACAATGTCGGGAGGCCCTACGTCTCTCTAGCCCTCAGCCTCACTATAGGAGGGGCTTTATGCTACCTCAATTGTAACGACACCGGAGCTACCGTCTATGGCTGGTTCTCATCTCTGGTTAGTATCTCACTTATTTGTGATCGTTGATATCCTATACTGACATTCCACAGGTATCTGTATCTGCCTTATTCCAATGGTCGGGAATCTTCATCTCCCACATCCGATTCCGACAAGGTCTTGCTGCGCAGGGTATCGATAAGAAGACACTGCCTTTCCGAGACCGCATGGCTCCTTACGCCCAGTATCTTGGTCTCGTAGTGGTCCTCTTTATCGCAGGATGCGAATTCTACTTAGCGTGCTTCCCCTTCGGCGAGAAGGGGTCTGCAAAGAGTTGGTTTTCATCCTACATCGCGGCGCCTCTATTCTTCCTAGATTACTTCGGCTACAAGGTGAGGGATGATCATCGGAAAGTCTCACTGAACTACGTTGACCGTTCGTTTAGATCTACTATCGCTCCAAGCTGGTACGGCCGGCAGAAATGGACTTCTCGGCGGCAGCTGCTTTTGATGAAGAAGATCGAGCGAGGGCGGCTGTTGGTTATGAGGCAGATACCGGAACAATGAGCAAGATTGGGCAGTACATTAAGAATCTTATTTTTGGCTAGGCACGAATTGCAATATCAGCAAGCTCCGGTTGGATTTTGCGTTGAGAAGGTGAAAGCCTGGTCAATGCTGAAGAGGGTCCAAGCAAATTCTGGACAGTGCGCATCGAATTATTGAACTGGGCATGTTTGCTGATTATACACACTCATAACTCAGTAGTAAATATAGGGATACCAACAATATAATCTATCCCAGTGGGCCTGATGCTATTTATATTCAACGGGGCGGCGGGGGGACTGAGGCGTATTAGGACAAAGAAACCCCGAGTCACTCATCATGTTGTAAACAACATCGTAGAGATCAACTTTTACTTAACCGCTTTCATCTCCTCACTGACTGTATTACTGTCTTCTGCGATCACACTTTCATGACCCTACTGATAATCCATGTCGTGGTCTGGCCCTCTCACTAGCGTACGATAGTCGCATCTGGTTGCAGTCCAGCTTGCGGCGCAGCTCTCTTGCATAAACTAGGCAATTCTAGTGTCAAGAGCCGAAGATGAGCGCGACCGGCTTATACAAAGGAAAATTCTCTGCATACCCCTCTTCAAATTCGTGCGTCTGACTCTCAGCAAGTCACCTAACAGCCAGTTGGGAATTGCTCTACGAACTGAAAGCTGAACCATTCAATCCATGCTCCCGACGTTGAACACTGAACCCCTCTAATAGGGACATGCGTCTTCGTCCGGTGACTGCTAATCAGACTAACAAGATCGCCGTGGGTCTCTGATCGTCTTAGAAGCGTCTCGTCTCTTGTTGTCTCTCTCCATTTATATCTGCCCGACTCGCAATATGCGACCACGGACCGAATGGACGGAGGCCGTTTCTCGACAAACCGACGCATGCTTTAGACACTCAAGATGTGCCTGTGGGCTATCATTCGAATCAACCGCCTTCTGACGAATCTCCAGATTATTGCTTGCTCGAGAGAATAATTTATCAGAGGTTTGACAGTGCTCCTCGGTTTGGTATAGCAGGTCTAATGCTTTCTTCTCAATAGGGTCTCTAGCTCTCAGGCATCGGCTGAGAGTCCACTATTGACGACGAGCCTGCGATGCATAACATATAGAAACGGAGGAGATACGCCCGCTATTGCAGATACCTCGTTGGTACCTGCTTATTGTGGCTGGACCCTTCATATAGTGCTGGTCTACATCTGCTTAAAAAGCTCAGCAATAAGCTCTGGCCGTCACCCATCTCAAGATCAAATACGGCTTTTGGCAGCCGTTAGCAGTGAAATGCTTAACACTAGGACCATCCTTTAACCATGAATTTTGGGTCGGGCGTTTTCTCCGGACGCCGTCGATTGATTCGGGGCGCGCGAGGATGCGCCATTAACCGTTCTGCGAATCAAAGCATCGAGCGAAACGGGCCCGGGTTGCGCATTTAACATCCGTACCCAATGATGGTCTCGCCGGATGGTCTCTACGGATCTATGGGGACCATTTATCTCTGGCCTCGCTTCCTTCGGCATCTACTGTAACCGTCACCGCTTATTTCCAAAGCGCGGTTCAGAAAACCGACGGACACGAAACATCAAAATTGAGACTTCGCCTGACGCTTCAGGAAGGGAGTGGCCGGTCAATGAAGTCATTAGTCTCCCAGGATTTCCTCTATCGGCTCTTGGAAGAATCCTGCAACTGGGGTTCGATCAATGATGTTCCCGCAAATTCTAACCTCCACCCTTCAACCATGGTGAGCCGGCCCGTCAAGACGTCAATCGCAAATTCCATCTGGTCCGGCCGCCGGAACATGCCAACTTCTGGGTAAGATACACCGGAGCGGAATTGATCTGGAAACGACAATCGCAGATGCAATTGTGGAGCATCCTTCAATTCCACGGGCGCACACTCTGGCCAGGCTGATCGGCATTCCCTAGTGCTTCTATCATTCCGCTAACCAAATAGTCGAGACAACTGCGGAGCACCTCATGGCCATCCAGGCGCCACATGGTGCAGTGCAGAAGATGAAAGGGGTGTTTGCGCCTTTGTACGTCCGTGTCATACGATAAGCTGGTCCTAGGTTAAACCTAGCCACCATCAACGAGCGCACAATTGGGGGGGGGGGGGGGGGGGGGGGGCGGGGGGGTTCCAAACGAAAAGAGCGTATGAACTACTAGACTGGTTGGTACAAGTGCCAGCGGCCCGCCAGTCGTCGTGGCGCGGGACAGCGGCCATTTCCGAGCAAGAGCCCACTCTCAGTGTGCTTTGCTAGTCAGTTAGTAGTTACAATTGACTGAACCTTCCTCCGGTCCGTTCAGCCGATTACACTTACAGTACGGCAGTCTTCCTCTTAGTTTCCTCCTTCTTCACGGAGGTTCCTGGTGCGGCCCACGGGCTAATCATGCATGTTGCAGGCACGGGTCGCCCAACTATCATTGATCAAAAGACCAATTTAGCGCAGACCTAGACACGCAGGTTGATGGATTCCCACGAGGGGTGAAAACGTGCTTAGTCGCATCCAGTCTGTGGCATTTGCTTGGGCTAAGGTCCTTTGCACTTGGTTTACTGACTGACTGCCTACCCACCACAAGAGTTTGAAATAGCCCGCCACGGCCAATTTCCCCCGGGCAGTCATATCATAAGCGACAACAACCTCATTTTTCGACGCGGTTTTGGGGAGCGGTAGATCTTCTCAGATCGCAACTACTAGAGAACTAGGCGGTCCTTACCATATTTTCAAAATGGCTGCTTGTAACGGCACGGAGTCGTGGGTTCGGGGCGGGGAAAAGTTTAGAGGACATCGGCTGCTTCCTGACATTCTCGATTACTACGCCCACGACGAGCCTGATCGTGTATTTGCTGCTATCCCCAAGACGAAGAGCGTCATGGATGGTTACAAAGACATAAGCGTGAAAAAGATGGCGACGGCAGTAGATCATATGGCTTGGTGGCTTGAACGCGCTTTCGACGGAGTACCCAAGAAGACAACACTGGCCTACATTGGCCCTCCTGACCTCCGCTACCCTATTTTGCTGCTGGCACTCATGAAGTGCGGGTGGAATGTATGTGTTTATTCTCTCTAGAAAAAGTATCCAATACTAACTCATGAGACAGGCAATGTTCGTCTCTCCTCAAAACACCCCCATTCAGAATTTGGGCCTTTTGCAGGAAGCAAACGTCTATGGCCTTCTCTATGCGGACGTTATGTGCTCGGCGGCAGAAAGCCTTCAGCAATTCGACCCCTTCATGCAATCTTTGCCGGTGCCAACACTGGCCGAGCTTTTCAAGTCTAAGTCATCTCCATTTCATTGGAATGCCTCTTTTGAAGAATTTCAGAACCAGCGTTGTCTGATTTTGCACACCTCCGGCACGACAGGCCAGCCAAAACTGGTCCAATACACCCACGGGACTCTCGCCTGCGCTGACAATGATACATTCATGTCTGTCCCAGAAGGACGTCGTGCGCAGAATGCAGACCAGTTCAATTTCTCTCCACCAGGACGCTATTACTCCCCTTTTCCGCCTCACCACGTAAGTAACTCTATGCGTTCTTTGTATTCTTGAGCTCATGGATCAAACAGCTCGCTGGCCTCCATGCCTTCACCCTTTTGCCTCTCATCTCACGTACGGCTGCTTTCGTTATGGGTCCTCTTACTGTCCCACCAAGCGGGGCCCTGCTGAGCTCCATCATGAAACAACAGCCGCAGATACGAGCCATCTATGTTCCCCCGTTTCTGGTGGAGCAGTGGGTGCTTGAACCAGATGCTTATGACCAGGCACGACGGCTTGATTTCATCCTTTGTGGTGGAGCGGCGTTGGCACCTAGTGTTGGGAATAAGCTCAGTGAGGTAACAAATATACGCCAGATGTATGGGTCTATTGAGACATGTCACATCCAGGCGCTCAATCCCCAGCCAGGAGAGTGGCAATATATCGAGTTCAACAATCTGCCGGAAATTGAGATGGAGGCTGTGGGTGATGACGTCTATGAGCTGGTTCTGCACCCAACCGAGAGCTCACGGCCATATCTATCCCTTGCTCATAATTATCCCAAGGTACACACGTGGCGCACTAAAGATCTATTCAAGCCTCATCCCACCAAAGCTGGTTTGTGGCACTTTCATTCGCGCACCGAAGATATAATCGTGCTGGAGAATGGGCTCAAAGTGTGGCCTATTCCCATGGAGACTATCCTGAGAGGAGATCCGCATGTTACAGGGGCTTTGATTGTGGGGAATGGTCGTCCCGAACCAGTGCTTCTCATTGAAGCCAGGCAAAGCTCCTATCAAGAAATGAGTGGAGACGAGCTACTGGACGCCATTTGGCCATCTGTCGTCGAAGCCAATTCCGTTGCCTCCGAGCACGCAATCATCCAGCGATCCCGGATTGTTTTGTGTCCACCGCAGCTCGGGTTTTTCCGGACACCTAAAGGGACGGTCATGAGGAAGCCAACCGAGTCCCTGTATGCCGAACTGATCTCTGCGACATTCACAGAAGAGGATGACAGTAGCAGCGGTGATGAGTATGACTTTTCCGGCGACCGAACAGAACTCGGCATGCGCGAGGCAGAGCTCCTGACTGCGACCTGACGCAGCAATTTCATTCAACGTTTGCGGGCAGAAATGGCGCTATGATATTTCCACGGTTTTCTAGAAGGTTTGCATCGATTATCGGGCTTAACAACGCACAGATAATTAACATGGATGACGTCTGGCCTGCCAATCTCCGGGACATTTTGAGGCGAAAGGTCCACCAACAGCTTTCTGGACCGAGACAGGGGCACCAGTATCAGGGGACAGGAAAGACGCTGGCTATAACCCCATAGGCCGTCAAATGCCGTGCCGTGTCTCGGTTCGGTGACAATCGTGAGCGCCCTTGTATGGTAGGAACTCTACTTTTGGTCCGGTCGGTTGCCCTGATTATGTTGAGGTGGTGTGCATGACATGCTCTGGCGCCCTCTCAGTCTTCCACTTGACTTCCAACCGTATGCAGAGTTGTGCTCTTTACGATTGCTATTGCGGGTATTTTGCGGGAGTAACCAGCAGGCAATGCGGAGGAACAGTGCGGATCAGCATTTGACTACGAGATAGGTCATCCAGGAGGATCACAGGATCCAACATCTTCATCGTTTATAGATACATCAGCTTTCTGACTTGGGGTTATGATTCGATCGCTACTCTGTAGCCGAACGACCAATTCGAACAGACTTTTGCAATAGACCCAGATAGTTCTGCCTATTGAGTGTTTCACGTAAAGTGATTCGTATGTCTCAAAGCATTTATAGATAGTCGTAGTTACGAATGTTTGAGTTCGGCATTTTAAACCTACAGTGAGTGGCTATAGCACCTATCACACTTTTGAATTTCACACGGTTAGTTCCCCTCACATTCAGACTCCCTAGCGATACACTACATCCCTAATAATCTCAAGAATAAACACTGCCCTTCATAAGGAACTAACGACACACAAGAGAACCCTTGCCATCAGCAATAATAATGCCCACAATTGTGTGATTTCCATCTTATGCCAAGCTAACGAACAGTACTAGAGACACCGGCGGTCAGTGGGGAGATTACTCCGCACTGAGACATCCATGCTAACTATGCTAAAACCAAACGAACACCTGTTAATTATCAAATCTACGTAGTCACCTGCCCATATGGGCATGTCACTTTCGAAGAAATACAAGCATGTTCAATCGATCAACATTTTTTACCCCAATTCAGGGATACCTGTGTAATCTACTCCGGATGGGCTGACAGCATCAGATTATGTCAGGTAGGATGGAATGCGCGCGCGCCGATCATGAGATTTAGAACCCCCTCTTTTTGGTGACCCCGCAGGAGAGTTGGGAAGAAGGAAGATGAGGGAACGCTATAATAGTCCAAACCCTGGTCATATTAGAGGTTAAGTTCCGACGGTAGTCCGAGGTAGGTATCGTTAGTGGTACGCAGTGGGAGGTTGGAGAACGCTACGAATTACCTGTCGGATTTAAAGCTTAGTTTAGATATAATACATGTTCGGTTTTGGCTGTCTGACTGGTTGGGTGGCTGGCAAAAAGGGCGCTTAGAGACTAGGCAGGTGATCTTGAAGTTGGGCGCTTGATTGCATAGATCTCTATGGTGGGCAGATTGACAAGTGTGAACTTTATTATAGAGGGGATGGAAAGTCCAGGTTATTTTGGTTGGTGGTAATTTCTCCAAAAAGATGTGATATATAGAATCTATGTAGAAAAGACACAGTTGACCCTATACTCTGTATGTAGGCAGAATAAGTAGATTCAGCCTGAGAACTGAGGCGAGCAACCTCGCTTGCGGCGGCTAATCCAGTTGCGGCCAGCGGCACGGCAACCATCCAGAGCCCAACGCCCGGCGTCAAGGTCCACCATCCAAACCCCATCATCTTCGCTGTGTCTGCGCCTGTGTCGCCGAATCCCCTCCTCCCATCTCCGGTTTACTGCATTCACTCGCTGTCATCCGTCTCGCCTTTTCAATATCCTCTTTCTCCTCTCCGCTTGTTCCCTATCTCCCCCGATTGTTGGGGGATTGAACGCTATCCTCCCCCCCCTCTCTCTCCCCTCTTGTCGTGCGGTTCCCGGGTCCTTTCCACCCCTCTCCGCCCTCGTTCCCCGTTTGTCGACCCTTGGGATTCACCCCAATTCACCTGGGCGCTTGCTTTCCACCCGCGGCCTCTATTTTCGCCTGCCTCGTGTGAATTCACCAGACATCCTGGATTTGGGCCTCCCCCTTGTCCCCTTCCTCCCATCCCCAATAATTTCCTCAGCCTTCGTCCCCGACCGCTGTCCGGTGAGCTTTGAGTCTACACCCTCGCTACTATCTCTTACCTGGCTATCTCCGCCGTACCCTCTTGCTGACTTTTTCCCGCCGGAACGCTTCCCTAGCATGGTGCTTAGGTCGGAACATCCTAGGAGACTGAGAAGCCCGCCCTCTTCGTCCTCCCTATCCATCGCTATCATAGCCTCCTAAGTCCTCACTTCTCCCATGGCTCCGCCGCAAACGCCCCGGCCGAATCCCGGTTCCACAATGTCCGATCCTGCGTCGACATCCATCCCTGCACACGCCACGAACGGCGAGGCCCATGCGCCCAACGACCACCACCACGACCAACTTCCCTTATCAGACTCCAAACCCGTGTCGGTTAACCGCAAGAAGCAAAAACGCAGACAAAAACAGGCCGCCCGCTTGGCTGCGGAGCGTCAGTTCGGAAACGGCCACATCTCCGCGGACATGTCTGAGCAGAACGGTCTGAGCCCTACCGCGCCAGCGTCTCATGTATCCGACGAGCACGACCTCGACGAACGCGCCAACGGCGAAACGTACTATGAGGAAATTCACGACGCGACACATGATCTGGACGACCACCCGCCGAGTCTGTCAAACGGGCAACCGGGACAACAAAATGCCACGGCTCGGAAATCCAAGAAGAAGAAAGGAAAGAAGAATCGGGCCGGCTCGCAGACCATGGGCGACGAAAGTTCGACACCACTGTCCACTCCTTCTGTCTCCATGTCACAGCATCTGCCCCCGCCATTACCGCCGCATCTGCCTCATACGCTTCTGAAGACGGGTAAGGACCGCAGCATTTGGAACACCTCCACACAAGAAGAGCGAGAGAACATCAAGACGTTCTGGCTTGAGCTTGGGGAGGAGGAGCGACGCCAGCTCGTCAAGGTTGAAAAGGATGCGGTCTTGAAAAAGATGAAGGAGCAGCAGAAACACTCGTGCAGTTGTACCGTATGTGGGAGGAAAAGGACAGCCATCGAGGAGGAATTGGAAGTACTTTACGACGCCTACTATGAGGAGTTGGAACAGTACGCCAACAACAACCAAGGCTCGTTCGAGAAGGGCCCGCCCATGGTCCCGCCTCCGCGTTTATACCACCCGCCTCTACGATCACCCGGTCAACATACACGGACGCAAGGCCAATTTCATCCCTCGCGAGGCCGAATTCATGAGTTGCCGGAAGACGACGAGGATCTGGAGGAGGACTACGATGAAGATGATGAGGATGACGAGCCGTACAGCGACGACGATTACGAAGACGAAGAGACCCGTGCAGCCCGCGCAGATTTCTTCGCCTTTGGGAATAGTCTAACTGTCAAAGGTAGGCGACGACCGAGGCTTTTTTCAATTCTCGGAAGCTAGATACTAATCTCTTTGCATCACTTGCAGATGGCATCCTTACAGTCGCGGACGATCTGTTAAAGAACGACGGGAAACATTTCATCGACATGATGGAGCAATTAGCTGAGCGCCGAATGCAACGTGAAGAGGATACCCAGTACGGCATAGCAGCAGCACACCAATCCCTCCATGGCGGCCACAACCACGGTCCTCTAGATGACGACGATTATGACGAGGAAGAGGACGAGGACTACGATAGTCAGGAAGATGAAGATTATGAGGAGGATGAAATGGTCAGCTCCGGGAACTGGCCGGGTGGTGATGCAGTGCAAGCTGACTCGTTTCTGCAGGACGCCATGACGGAAGAGCAACGCATGGAGGAAGGCCGACGGATGTTTCAAATATTTGCGGCCCGAATGTTCGAACAGCGCGTCTTGACAGCCTATCGAGAAAAGGTCGCAGAACAACGTCAGCAGAAACTGATCGAGGAACTGATGGAGGAGCAAACGCGGAACGAGCAACGAAACGCCAAGAAAGCGCGGGAGGCTCAGAAGAGGAAGGATAAGAAGAAGCTCCAAAAGCAGGCCAAGGAGGAAGAGAAGGCGCGAAGGGAGGCGGAGAAGGCGGCCGAGGAAGCTGCGGCCAAGGCTGAACAGGAGAAGAAGATGGAAGAGCAAAGGAGGAAGCGCGAGGAGCAAAAGAAGAAGCGAGAAGCAGAACGCAAAGCCCAAGAAGCGGAGCGTCTCCGTAAGGAGGCGGAGAAGCAAAAGCGGTTACGCGAAGAAAGAGAGCGACAGGCCGAGATTGAGAGAAAGCAACGAGAGCAGAAGGAGCTGGAGAAGAAGCGACGAGAAGAAGCACGGCAAAACGACCTGCGGGAGAAGAAGACGAAGGATGAGCGAGAACGTCAAGTCAAGGATGCGCAGACACGTCGGGAGGCCGCCCCCAAGACCGAGAACGAAGGTCAGGAGAAACGCGATCCCCAAGCGAAACGAGTGTCGCATACAGGACCGGTTCCGATCCCAGCCAGCTTGCAACACGCCCAGGCGCTCCCTGCATACTTGCAGTCGCCGCATTACCAAATCGCCACTCCGATTGTCCCCAAAGCTCCGACACCTGCCAGGCCGCGGCAACCGTCTCAGCAGGGCTCCCATACATCGTCTCCGCGGTCCCAGCCTGCAAGCACCGAGCCATCACAAGTATCCATTTCCCCACGATCGATGGCGCCGTCGCAGTCGTCAGGAGCGTCCAGCGTTACGTCCAAGCAGGGTCATGGACAACCGCCGTTGCTTCACCACCCCCAGCCCTCGACTCCCCTGTCTCCCCTTGGTGCGTTGAACCGCTCTCATCCACCCGGATTCTCGCCATCGAACCCGCCTGGCTTGGGCCTGGTCTCCCGTCCGCCGATTGGTCATGAGTTGCCTTCATACCCGCCGCATTCGGGCCCGCTGATGAACCAACTGCGAGGGTTTCCTGCGCCAAATGGACTGCCCGTGCTTCCAAGCATGAACGGAACTCGTCCTATGCCTCCGGGACGTGGCTTTCCGCTCGATCCAGGACATGGTCTAGCATTCCATCAGCAGCCCATAACCAATGCGTTTGCTGCGCAGCCGAGCGGGCTGTCTCATGCTCATTCCAGACAGCCGTCCAGCTCGTTTGAGCGGTCGCCTCTGGATGCGCATGCCTTCCCGATCTCCCGGCCTAGCCCTATCAAGCGCCCGTCAAGCACCCAACAAGACCAGAACAACCGGTCAGCGCAGCGCGATGTGGATGATCTAAGTGCGCATCTGGGCAGCAGTGCTCTTCTCGATGACAGTGATGTTCCGTTTACTTCGAATCTCTCCCAGTCGCTTCCTGGCGCGACTGCTCCTGGCACCTTCCCTGGACCGACCCGAGCCAGCTTTGCAGGAACGTCCCTCTTCGCAGATCCCCTAGGTAAGTACCGTTGACAAGTAGTCATGGCTGTCGCATAAGCTGACAACTTCATAGCAGCCAAGCATAGTGGTTTCCCGATTGGCCCGAGTGTAGGAAACACGTGGAGTACACAGATTCCCTTCGGCACGTCTCCTTTCCCCAGCGCTCCCACATGGGGAACAGGACCTGGTCAGTTTCACCTCGACGTCAGTCCTTTCTGTGCCATCAACTGACGACCTTTATAGGAAGTGGCTGGTCCAACAACGCATTTGCTCCCGGCGGTCACCACCGTGCGCATGCCTCTCGGCCCGTGACGATACGACTGCTGGTCATCCAAGCCTGCAAGCAACTCAACATGATGAGCCCTTCCAAGGGAGCCAGTGGGTACCATGATGTGAACGTTGTCCTTCGTCAGGTAAATCAGCTACGGCCGGCCAACGAGCCTCCGATCTCGTTGAAGGAAATGCTGGACATCTGCGACACAGAAGGCAACACGCAGAACGGAGGCGGATCGTTCTCGATCAGGAGCGACGAAACGGGCGAATGTGTCAAGTTTGAACCGGACACCAACAGTGCGTCCTCAGGTCACAGAGGCAGCATTGTCCCCGGGGAAATCGGCAGTCCGGTTCCCAGTAGCAGTCTTCCAGCGTTCGGCGGGATCGGTTCATCGACACCATCCGTGCTTCGGCAGTTTTCTTCTCCTACGGGGTTCTAGGCTTCCAGTTGCAATGGCACGAGAATCATTGATGACATCCTCACTTTCTCCTTTTTCCGTCATCTATTCCTTCTCCATCGAATCCTCCTACTCTACCGAATGAAAGCGTCCATCATGTCATCAAACCCTCTTCCATCCTCATTCCTATCCATCCTCCACCCTACCACATCACTGATGAGCTTCCTCGTGTTCCGAGTTCCCCTTTTTCATCTTCTCTTCCTACGCACATTGAACAGACATCAATAATGTCATGTACGTTACGTTGTTCTCTTCCTTTTGCCTTGTTTGTTTTTTCTTGCACCGCTTCCCCACCGGAAATCCAGGTGGGTGTTCTGAAAGTGAAACCCTCACCATTTTCTTGTTTGTTTTCCCCCTTTTTTCTTCCTTATGTAGCGATTCCCAAGGAGCATTATTCCAAAAGGCTCCCAAATACCTCATGTTCGTTTGAAACTCCGTGTTAAAACAATTGCATGATGCGAATCGGATCTTTATCAGGTGGTCGATTGATTGACTGATCCTGATCATTCCGTACTTAAACCTCTTCTACCTTCTCTTCTTCCTTCTTTTTCTAGTTCATATCGTTCAATTTTGGACGGTTGAGTTATCATAGAATCTGTGTAGAGGCAACTAGATAAGGTATGAAGTATTTATTAGTTAGATAGTAAGGTATCGTAGGCATTATACTAGTATCCAACTAACTAACTACTTACCTAATACTCACTACGTAGTAAGTTAAGCACCATCTTCTACGTGTCTTCAGTCTCCTCCCCAGTTGGTACTAAAGTAGAAACTATCCTAGGATAGAAAAATGGAAGGATACTATCCATGATAACAGTAGAGACGTAAATTAGAATAGCAGAATATGATATAAGAAGTAGAATGAAATCAAGAGCTTTCTATCGGAGACCAAATTTTCCTCCCTAGTAACTATAAGAAAGGTGATGAAAAAAAAAAGGGTATGATAATGATGTGAAGATGATGATAATACACTGATTGATATATTCGACTCGAATTGAGGGCGGACATAAGATAGGGTAGGGTAGGGTAGGGTGATAATCGGTTCATGAAGCAGAAGATAATAGAAGTGGGGGAGGAGAGAGAACGGACAGGGAATCTTACACGCGCGAGGCTGGAAGAGAAAGAAGAAGAATAGAGAAGAAAAAACAGGGCAAAACGGATGTCTGGGGATACATGGGCTGTAGTGGTAGTGGTAGGTAACATCGCTCATTCATACGGGAGGAGGGTCATGCAATTTCACTGTCTGGGATCGGTGACTACGCCTTCGAAATCTCGGGATCGGATGTAATCCAGTGTACGTTGGAAGTGTCGCTTCGGGCCCTCCAGGCTGGGGTTGGGCTCGTTTTCGTCCGTCTGCAGGTTGGAGTGGATGAGTTCGATAAGGCCGTTGAGGTATTTGATCGTGACGGTTTCGTTCTGTTGGTCGAAGTAGTAGACGTAGCGGTTGAGGATCTCGACGAAGAGTTCCACGGACACGGCAGTGTCCATGCAAGCGTCTGCGACGCGGAGGGCCCGTTGGAGGCACTCGAGGACGCGCTTGCCGTCGCGGTAGAGCTGATTGATGTTAGAAGTTGACTGTGGAATGTCACTAGATGAAGGTGGACTTACGTTCTTGGGGTCTTCTTCGCCTCGTTGGGGGTTCTCGACAACCCACCACAGGTGACTGGCTAGGTATACAGCGCGACATTGGTCGGGCTTCTTCAGCAGCTTGCTTCCATGCAGAGCGGCCTTGGTAATGAGGGTATCATAGTTCTCCTTCGAGAACCCGCGAGTGCCGTGGAGAGCTCCCGCAATGACGCAGACGGCTTGGAACTGAGCACGGGAGTCACTGATGGAGTCCTCGTAGATGGTGAAGGCTTGTGCAAAGAATTCGTAACTGAACTCTTCGAAGCCCGTCTGGTCCGCCACTTCTCCGCACATCACAAACAAACGCAGGGACAAATCAGCACAACCAGGGTTCACACGCTGGTAGAGGTTGTTGACACACTGGTGCATGAACCGGTAAAGGGCTGAAGACTGCGACTGCCAGTTGTCGTCGTAGTGCTCGCGGGCCTTGAGTTTGCGTGCCAGACGGATCGAACTCGTGACCAGGGCCGGTGTTGTGTATCGGATACGCTCGTTACCGTCGAGGTAGGCCTTGCGGGTTGCTTGGAGTAACTTAAAGGAGATTAGTGGTGGTCATATCGTGTTGGGAAGAGGCATTACCTTCAACTGGGTATCATTGTCTTTGGCCTGGATCAGATGAACCAGACGTGCAAGCCACCCTTGTTCCTCGATGGTCTCATCAGTCTCACCTCGCCGCTGAGACTGAATGCCAGGATAGCCCATAGACTGCTGAGTGCCTTCCTTGATCAAAACCCTTAGGGCTTGCAGCACGCGGTCGAGGTTTTCCGTAGTCGTGATGAAAGTTCGGTTCTTGAGAAGACTGCGAGCGATTTCGCCTGCGACAGCTCGCCGGGTCGTGTAGGATTGCGAAGTCAGAAGTGGGATGTAGTGGGGCAAGGCAAGAGCCGTGAATATGGAGGCGTAGGAACGGAGAGGTGCGGTAAGGAGGTGCAAAAGGTTCTGCTGTGTCGGGGCAGAGTGCAGGTCGGCGTGGTCGGCATACGTCGCAGTCTCTTTAGTCGCAAAGTCGAGGATTTGGTCCACAAATTCTAGGCGATCCGGGTAGGTGTTAAGAGCCAGGTTGACAAGCGAAACCAGAAGCGCCATTGTGTCTTGAATAGGGAGACCGCGGCTCTTGATCAGGTTAACCACTTGTTCATAGAAGATGTCGTACAGCTTGACATCAGCTGGAATTCCAGCCTTGTCGTCGCCATTGGCCGTGGGCTCGCCTTCTGTCGTAGCTTCAGCCTGTTCAGCGTTATCCGTTGCGGCTTGCTCCACGCCGTTCTCCTGGGTTGCTTCTTCCGGCGCTTCCTTCTTGGTCTCCTCAGATATCTTGAGGTTCCCAAGGAGTTTGGTGACAGCCTCCTCTTCCTTCTTGATTCTTGAATCGGGCTCGGCGGACGACTCGGTCTCACGAGCTGCATAAGCTGACAAGCGGTCCATCAATCCAATGACGATCTTCTTCAGGTCCACGTGGGGGTTGAGTCGACTGATTGCGGATAGCAGGAGATCAAGGGTGTGCAAGTGAAACTCGTCAGGGAACACCTTGGTGATTACTACACCCTCAGTTAGCATGCCAGACCTTCGACAAACAATCGCGTCATTTTACCTTCGAGGAGATACTCCTGCGCCAAAACATCACGACACTGGACGACTTGCTCCAGCAGTGCCTGTAGTATACCGGATTTGTATCCTTCCAGATCCACCAACTGACTGAGTCGCACAACGTTACTACCAACAAGCAATTCCAGTTCCCGGCGTTCCTGCATCCGCTTCTCGCGCTCGCGCGAAGGGCCCTGGTGCTGGAGTCGCACCCACAGCTTGTTCATCTCGACGAAGTTTGTCAAAACGAAGCTGATCGAGTCCTGCAAGTTGCCCTCCGGGCCGTCTCCAGAGCCTGTGGGCAAGTGGTCTCTAGCCTGCCCGGACAGATAGTACCGCAGGAACAGCCCGCGAATGGGATGCTGCACGCCTCGACTCATCTCCATCATGTCCTTCATAATCTCTTTGACCGGCGCATCCTCCACAGACATGTATACCGTACCTACAGTAATCATAAGATAGAGTCGCGGGATGATATTTCCGGCATATTGAACGAGTTCGTACAAATCCGCTAGATGGTTAACCGGGTGGTTCTCTTTCAGGTAGACGGAGAGGTGTCGCAGGGCATCGAAGACGGCCATGTAAAGTTCGTAGTATTGTTTCGGACCAAGGCTAGGGGTTCGTAGCTCGGATACCAAGGTGGATCTGGAGCAATTGGCAGAAGACATCAGTTATCTCGATCCCAATGTCATTGCTGCCTGGAGTATCCGAAGCTCAAGCTTACCCGCATTTCAACGCATCCATCAATTTCCCCGGAGTTTCCAAACATTTTCGCATCATCTGCGACTGTTGCCGCACGACTCCCAATGCCTCCTCGAGGAGACGGCTTTGGTCTTCGGGGGCCGCTACCGGGGTGGCCATGGCGGATATGAGGTGATGATGTGAGGGGAGTGTCGGACTCAGTGGCTTGAATCGGGCGGTAAACACCTGGTCGGAAAGGGGGAGGGGCGGAGAGGGGAATTCGTAGATGGGAGCAACAGAAAGACACGATGCGCTAGAAGATCAGGCGGGGATTCAAATAGCTCCTGATCCATAGACAGGAGTAGGATAAAAGGGACAGCAGGCGCAGGAGAAGGTGGGAGGATGGGAAGGTGAATGCGAATGCGGACATGCGATCAGAATGCCAGTTAGTTTACGGCCTGGGGCTGGGCACGGGTTATGTAATCCCCGCCCCGTTGCTGTACGTCACACTCTCCCCCAGGTATAGATACTTTCTTTCTTCTCAAGGATTGAGAAGATACTTTTACCACGGGAGCATCAAGCGCGGCCCTCTGAACAGACTTGTGCTAATACTTTTGAGTGCCAGTTTATCTTGCCAGGCCAATATGTGAAGGATGTCTTGATCCCGTGCTGGTGACTGACAGGCTGTTGGATAGGCATTTGACAGCTTGTTCCCTCATCTCAGTTGTCTGTCTCTGCAGGGGACAACTTCCCTAAGCTGCACTCAACTCCCTAACGTCGAGTAATAATGACAAACAACGTGATCATATTGTACTGAACAAGAGTCCAGTTCATTGGACTGTCTCTGGATCCCACCATCTCTACACCCGTCACACCTCGTCTCGCGTTCCCCGATCACAGCAGGGTATAAACCATTGTTCGCTAGCAGCAGGCTGGCCAAAGAAAACAAGCCCCGAAATACTCCGAATATCGTTGAGATAGTGAAGTCGATGTCTTCATGGTAAGGACGAATCGAATCTTTCGATTCTATTTTCCGCCAGTCTCTATCTCTCGCACTTCCTGAAGCTGGGAGAGATCAAATGGCATGACCAGGCTGCCGACTGTGCCAGCAGAGGTGATTATAAACAACCCAAGGCAGATGGGGTGATGATACCCATGCGTGGGGAGCGTATATAAAAGTTCATCCTAATGCGCATATAAAGATCATCCTCATGCGGGGTAATCTCGATGGCGGAGGTTCAAGCCCGCTAGTCAACTGGATGCAGTGTGCTATGAGACATTGTGGTATTGAACAAGCATTGCAGTTTCCACTGGCGCAGAGGATTGCCATTAGTTCGTCCATGCGTAGGGAAACTTTAGCGCCTGTTGACTTTCATCTCCAGGCACAAGCCTCAATTTAGAACAGTCCATATACCCACTCTTAATGGACACATGAATTACGTCGGTTTTATCTGGCGTCAACGACAAATTGGATGCCCTCAGTACGGATGAAGTCTACTCCATCAGTCAAGTTGTTGGGTATCTTCTCCGCAAATGGAGAGGTTTGGTTAATGGAAAGGAAGATTGATCGTCCAAAAATGTACTGGAAACCACTGGTCGTACATCCCTGCCCTCGGTAGCGAATTGGGGGATGGACTTCCGCGGGGTGGAGCAGCGAAAGCAAACACGCCTATCGCGCCTATCACGCCTTTCACTGGGTGCTTATACCGTGTCTTTAGGCCATGTCTTTAGGCCGTATCTTTCAGCTGCTGCGTGTTCAGCCGCAGACGAGAGAATCGAACTTGACATGACAGATTCTTCCCCCCGTCAATACCCACGGCACACGCACGGGCAAGATGGGTTGTTTGGGATTGAGAAGGTTGCTTGGAAAGAAGCCAACGCACGAAAAACATGTTCAACCAGCAAACACGGCCGTTGCAAACGGGGCAGTTGGTCCTCGGCCAGCTCAACAAGATCGGCCTGTGAAGGCAACCGATGCTTCTCTCAGCAAGGAAACACTGGCCCGTGATGAATCGCTCTGGGATCAGGCGTATAAGAATCTCGATCCAGGCTTGGTTGAAAGATATGAAGAATTATTGGCGAAACAAAGACAGGAGATTAGTAAGTTTCTCTTACTTTTCCTGGATACTGAATACTAACAAGGAAAGATGATAATTCTTGCAAGAATGGAACCAACCGCCAACAAGACTTGGACATCATCATCAATCACGGACTTCATCAGGCAGAAATCCAAAGGACGGGTGTTCAGGAAGGCTTGGCCCAAGCTGCAAGCTGGATTTTGTCCGTGAAAGACTTCATTGGAGAAGCGGTCAAGGCATCGCCAGAAGCGTCGTTGGCATGGGCAGGGGTCTGCATTGTCCTGCCATTGCTGACGAACCCCCAGAGTGCGGCACAGGCCAACAAGAGTGGATTCACGTATATCACCGGTCGCATTCGCTATTATGTCGAACTGGAGCGGATTTTGTGGTCAACTTCCAGCCGAAGCTCGGATCATACGGGACTGAAAGAACAATTCAATGCCAACATTGTCAAGTTGTACGAGGAAATCCTGCGCTTCGAGGTCAAGAGTGTTCTGCGCTTCCATCGCAGCTGGCAGCGAAACTTTGCTGGTGATATCTTCCAACCGGAAGATTGGAACGGCATGGTTTCCTCGATCAAAGATCTCGAAAAGCTGGTCCAGCAAGATGCTGCCACCATTAGCACAGAGGTATCCCGACGGCATCTAAACGAAGTGGAACAAAGTACTCGCCACAACTTTGAGTCAATGCAAAAGCTTCTTCCATTGGCACAACGGCACCTTGAAGTGGATATGGAGGCTCTCAACCTCCAACGCCAGATGCATGAGGAAGCATTGTCGGACAAGGAACAAAAATGTAGGCAGCTTTTCCGCCTGGCCAGAAACGAGGAGGACTCTTCCTATGAATTGTACAAGAGCCGAGTTGACGATCGACTCGAGGGCACTTGCGAATGGTTTCTAGAACAGCCCCATTTTAACCAGTGGCTGGACAATGATAGAGGGCTTTTGATCGTTTCAGCAGATCCTGGTTGTGGCAAGTCTGTTCTTGCCAAGCATCTGATCGACAATGTGTTGCCCCAGTGCAATCCATCCGCCACGATATGCTACTTTTTTTTCAAAGATGGAGACCAGAATACACAGAAGCAAGCTATCTGCGCATTGCTGCATCAGATCTTTACAAACAAGCCTGACTTGATCAAGCTTGCACTGAAAGTAATCGATGACAACGGGCAGGAAACCGTCAACGTGGTTACTGAGCTCTGGAATATCTTTTCCCGGGTCATCAAGCACCCTGCTATGGGACAAACCATCTTTGTGTTGGATGCGCTAGATGAATGCAAGGATTCCGAATTAGTTGACCTGACAGACAACATTAAGTCCATTCAAAACGATGGTGGAACCAGGGCTAGGTTCTTCCTGACCAGCCGACCGTACGAGAACGTCATATCGGAATTCCAAGAGCTCATTGATCATTCTCCCCATATTTACATACCGGGCGAAAATGAATCCGACAAGATTGGCCAAGAAGTGAACATCGTCATCAAGCATCGTGTTGAGCGCCTGGCTCGAAAGAAGCATCTTTCTCCTACCATCCAGAGCTACTTGGAAGAGCGACTACTTCGAATGGAGCACCGGACATACCTCTGGGTCCATCTCGTTTTTGAATACTTCGAAACACATAGCTTTCAAAAAGTCCAAAAAGGGATTGACAGGGTTTTCATCGATAAGCTCCCCAAGGACGTCAACGATTCATATTGCAAGATCCTTAGTAAGTCTGAGGACATGGACATGGCACGAAAGGCCTTTTGCATTATGCTGGCTGCATCCCGCCCCTTGACATTGACGGAGATGAACATTGCTGTTAATCTAGATCTTGACGCAGATGAGCTGGATCTAGAATCGGATGAAGACTTTCAGGCCTCGTTGCGAAGCTGGTGCGGTTTACTTCTGACGGTGAATAACAAGAAGGTATTCTTCCTGCACCAAACAGCACGAGAATTCCTGGCGCAGAAAAATGGCTTTGGTCGCTGCAGCGAACGTGGCCCCATTGATCCAAAGGAGGCACAAGGCGTCCTTGCAATGAGCTGCATCACATATATCGACAAGTTTATGCCACGGGCTCGTCAGACCAATTCAGCTGAAGATCTAACTTCGATTGATATAAATCGAGACTTCTCCGTATATTCTGCTGACGAGTGGTATTCCCATATCCGGGCTGCAGCACTGGAAGATGATCAGAAATTGGAGCCAATTCTCGCCAGAATTTGTGATCCAAAATCCGCTGTCTTTGCCTCTTGGTGCGAGGCTAACCTCTGGGACTGGGGAGATTGCAATACATTGTGGGTGGCCGCCAAATTCGGCCTGACATCGGTTGTCAAGAGAATCCTTAAAAACGAGGAGATCGAAGACGTTCGGGGGGATCGTTGGAGGAGACAAAGTATTCCCCACGTCGCTGCATCCTGTCCAAATGTCGATGTCTTAAATCTCCTGCTTGACTGTAAGAAACTAGACTGGCGTAGGAAGGACGAAGAGGGATATACTCCCTTGTTCCACGCCATACGCTCAAACCATGTAGCAAGCGTGCGATGCTTGCTTAATAGTGGCAAAGCTGATGTCCGCGACGAATGCAACGGATATACACCCTTGATCTACGCATTGCTCTTCTCAAGCGACGAGATGGTCGAAATGCTTGTTCATACCGAAGGTATCGATATGAATGGATTCTGGTGGGGATTCAACGCGCTCACAGTGGCAATGCGCGAAAGAAGACATAACCTGGTGAAGCTACTGCTTGATATGGAGGCGGTAGAGACGATCCCATCATCCTTGGAAAGCAAAACACCACTGGTTGTGGCGGTCATGCAAAATGACGAGGCCATGGTCAAGCTGTTACTGGATTCTGGAAGGATAGACCTGAATCAGCAGTGTGAGCTAGGCGGTACCACAGGCACAGCTTTGAAGTTTGCCCGATCGGGGGAGTTCACTAGAATAGTGGAATTGCTCGTTGAGGCTGGCGCGGTTGAATAGATGTAATGCCTGACTTTGAGATATAGTCACCCGTCTGAAGCTCGTGGTCTAAAATCATGTACCTACGCCAAATGTGTCCGCTTCTATCTCTCCTCCGCCTTTCCATCCAAGGATGGCAATAGATATAAATATATAAAGGGCCCATGAAAATGAAGTTATAATCTAGATTTCGATCTCACTGCCGAGTATAAATACTTAGTTAAATCTGTTCCTTTTGAAACATCTACACTAGAATAACAAATAGAAGCGGAAACAAATGAAGAAAAAAAAATATGAAAGAATTAAGCCCTAATTAACAAATTAGTAATTCAACTCAATACAACGATATGCTGTAATCCGGTCATGTCTCTGAACACTGCTTGCCATCACAAACAAGTAACTAGTTATTAACCGCGGCCGGTTCAGTCAGTCCGTTTGCTGTCCTCTAGTAGCTAAATCAAATGCTTCTTCGTATATCATCCAGCCATTCCTATTTTTATAGCAATCTATCCTATACCTGAAATAACCCAACGACAATCTAGACCTAGTATGAACCCGAAATCGCAACGAAAGCAATCGCTACCTCTTATCTAAATCAACAAAAGCCTTTCCCACAAGAGAGCATGAAACCGCCAGAGAACTATAAGAAGAAAAAAAAGAAGAAAAAAAAGCAATGAAAGGAAGGGATAAAAAAGAAAAATCAAAACGCCCCTATAGATGCATGCTATCATGACCATATCCCCACACCTCCACCATGAGCAGTCATGACTCGTCGTGACAATGCAAAAACCGAAATCGTGAAAGAACCACATGCTCATTATCCATCAAATTCATGAAACGTGTTTCATACCAGTCGTTGGCAACCCAATTTTTCAACCTCCAGAACGATATGGCAGGCACCTGGGTCTGGGTAAGCAACACATTGACCCCTGGAGATGATGACTCTACGCCTGAGAGTCTGTGTGGTTCAGGCCCCTGGCGTGAGGCCTGGAAGACATGACGGCGGTGTCAGAGGGGGTGTCATTGAATGCCCGTGCCTGCAAAACTGTATCATTCCGGGCGCGGATTGCGACCTTGCTGCCAATATCAGTGGCGTTCTCGGATTTCTGAGTGTCCCTGGCCATAACTCCGAACTTGCCACTAACATCGCTGGCATTGTGATGCTCGGAAACAAGGGCATCCTTGAGCTCCCGAGTCTGCACAGCTGTCTCGTTCAAGCTACGAGCCAAGACTTCGGAAGTGGTGTTACTGCGAGCGGCCATTGCATGCTTTTCAGTGCTGTTGGTAGGAGCATCCTCAAATATCGCACGTCGGCTCAGGGTGCTGTTGGTAGGAGCATCCTCAAACATCGCACGTCGGCTCAGGGTGCTGTTACTAGCATCGTCGAGGATTCCACGTCGGCTGGCAGTGCTGTTGGTAGGGGTATCCTCAAACATCGCACGTCGGCTCAGAGTGCTGTTACTAGCATCGTCGAGGATTCCACGTCGGCTGGCAGTGCTGTTGGTAGGAGCATCCTCAAACATCGCACGTCGGCTCACGGTACTGTTGGTTGGGGCATCCTCCTCAAACATCGCACGACGGCTCAGTGCGCTTGCGCTGCTATTGGTGTCGCGGCGACCCAGCGGAGCACCACCCACGTTAGGCCCGGCATTCCAAGGTGAGGGAGAAGCGCCAGGCACGGAAGCTGGTGTGGACGAGGGGTACTCAGTGACGGTAATAGTGGTAGGTGGCGCCGGAGGGTTAGTCGCAGTGATGGTCTCAACAACGGGAGTAGTAGGACCCGCAACATTCACGACTCTGTAGGGACCTTCTTCTCTACGCTCGACGGTGTCGTTCCCACGAGCGTTGAAAACAGGCACCGCATGGGCAGAGAGGGAGAGAGCAAGGAAGAGAGCAGCGGTATGCATGGTGCTGCCGGTGCAATATGGAAAGGTCTGTAGATGCTGAATGTAAGGGAAGACCAGGACAGATATAACACAGAAGCAGAGAAACGAAGTAGTCTATCAGGAAAAACAAGGATTATAAGAAGATTAGAATGCTTAGTATAAGAGTCTTTTGATTAGACCGAGTGATTTGAAACTGGAGCAACAGCAACAACCGACGAGACAAGGGCTCAATTTATGATTTGGATTCACCAGCAACACAGCACACACACACACCGACCAACCAGGCTATGAACACAACAAAAATTGGCGCCTAGAAAAAATAAATTAAGAAAATCAGTGACAAGCAAGCAAGATCTACACGGGTGCGGCAGATGTATATGCCATCATACACGGCACGAAGCCCGATCGTCGGGGAGAAAAAAAAAAGGTGCAGGCTGGCGCATCATGATACTGTCAAAGGAGGCTGGGATGGGATGGATGGAGTCTGTTTCTGCCAGCCACGTTGGTTTCTGGTGGGCAGAAGGGCACTAGAACAACGGATCGCCGTTTTCCCAGCGGCAAAGACCCTGTGAGTTTATTGATTTCTTTTGTGCCAATTATATCTTCGACAGGCAGCATGATTTAGATGGCCAATGGATGAAGATAATGAAAGGAAAAAACTACTTTTTATTTTTTCTACTAAATCAACTAAATGTCGCGCCAAAAAATAGAAAATGGCACTAAACGTGCTAATTAAAGCTGGAAATCCCGTGACCTGACCGGGCCCTCTTTTGCTGTCAAATCCAAAGTGGCTGGGGAGAGGATCCACTTTTCTCTAATCTACATCCTCGCTGATCCCCTCACAGCCCAGTCCAGGTTCATCTCAGACTGTCTCATTGCCCTTGTTACGACGTACTTACTACATCCTGCTTGGATCAGACAATGTCTAAAGTCTGGACCGTAGATCCCCATCACGTCTACGTCATGCTCTGAATTTCTAACCTCCAGCAGAGCTTACCGGAGCATTAACACGGCGGCGGTGTGAGCGCCACTTATCCCCCGTTTACACCTTATCTCGACAGCAGAAACACAGAATGTGTGGTACAGAATAACAGTAACGATAATGGTACTGAGTCAAGTCAATAGGGGAAACGAGTGACAACCCACCAAACGCCAAAGTCTCATCTTCCCTTTTCCTCCCTCTTTACTCCCTTTTAGGCATGGCACCGCAACAGGGATAATAGCTAATAAAGCAGGATCAGCATTTTGCCATGGGCATATCATATCACATCACATCACAGCGCATCACAGCCCCAGCTCAGGCAGGGTCCTCGGGATCTCCTTCCCCGTGTTCTCTTCAGATCTAGATGCCAACTCAGGTTTCGAAGTTGCCTGCATCTCCTACGGCACCTCCGGATGCATAGGGGAGAAGCATGCACTCTACGACGGACACAATGATATCTGGTGTGTTACGCGTCGAGCCGTTGTCTATTTACCTGTATAGGTAAGTGCTGCTACTACCATGGTAAGTATCTGGTAGTGGGATTCGAGATTTCGTTTATGGATTCTATCCATATCTACAGCTATCCATCCAAACTCACTCGCGCCATGAGTTCCAGCCATTCAGACGTTACTAAGTATATCCTATCTTAGTGGCTCAATGCTCAATCCAATAAAATCCCTCTATTTAGCACGCATCCTCTCGAGGTTCGGTGATCGACCATGCAAGCGCCCACGGTCCCCCGTGTCGATCCCAAGGAACAGCTCAACGCATCTGGCTGCGGTGTGACCGAGTTAGCGGCTAATAAGCCACAGCCATGGGGGAACATGATGTTGGTTCGTGGCCAGCGGTTATCTCATGCACGGTGGGCCGCGTAATAATATCTCCGGCCGCGGCGTTGCAAGTAGATAGTATACTCCGATATGCCTTGAGGGATTTTACTCCGTCGTAGGTAGTATAGATATATGTTTGTAGATCGTATGATTGCTTCTTATAGAGACTATATGAGAAAAAGCAGCCATTTCAGTGAGTTTCAAAGGTAAGTAACGTGTCAGTAGGATAAAAATCTGGTCAAATATTCCAGAACTACTTCACAGCCAGAGAAAGCAAAGCAACATATACCCTAACCAACCCAAAGGGTAAACTATAGTAATACTACACCATCACGAACTAAATCCAAACTAGATAGTACTACTAGCTTTCCTCTCACCCACACCTACAGGGATAACCCCAACAAAACCAGAGATGTCTACACTAAAGAAAGCATACCCACCTAGAACCTAACTTAACATCCCATCACTCAAGCTTACCTTACGCTATACCTATACTTCCTAAACATCCCATCCTCCTGACTCGCACCGCAGAGTAGTACATAGAGAAAGAACAATGAAAGATTACGCCATCAATCCCCGTACATGAACCCTCCCCCTCCTCCCCTCAGGAACTATTGAACTATACTAATACCAAACATGAACCGAGATGACGCAATCCATCCAGAAGATTCCGGAAAGTAAGTAAGTAATCTCTAGGAGAGAATTTAAATGGGTGATACGTACACCCTGTTGTTCGTCGAGAAAGATAAGAGTTGGAGTCCATGCTACTAATGATACATTGTAGATGAGACGTCATCATCTGCAATTACTCACCAGATTGGGCTGTAGCTGGTACCATCAGATGGAGATTTTATGTGGCATGGTACTTTACTTACTTACTTGCCCCCTAGAATTCTTAGGCACTTAGATATGGTCCAAGCTAGGAACATATTAAGAGCGTATAGTAGCTAGCTAGCTAGTAGGATTATTGTGTGATTGCAATATACCGGTCGCTGTGATATGCCTACGCATGTGTCTTTAGTTAGTCCTGGGTGGGTTTGTTTAATGAGTTCGGGGGTTACATCATCTTATGCTATACTAACAGTATTGGCATTCTCCACGGCATAACATACTACATATACCTTAGGTATATGTGCCTGGTCTTGCATTTAAATGTCATACTATACATGCCTTAAGAGGGTAGTATCAGTAGTTACTGAGAGGCGCGCATGCTGCCCTACGAGCCTCAGGCAGGCTTCAAGATGCTGCTGGCTGATCGACGGACCCTGCATGCATGTACTATGATAGTTCTCAGACATGGTCTACGTAATACATTTAGCGGTCGAACAGTTATTGTTTTGTTTTGGTCCTTCGATTATGACCGATATGTTCTTCGTCTCATACTATCAGACCATACCGAATTTTCTAAACCTCACGACAATGCCAAATCCTCAACCCGAACCAGGCCACATCCCATCCCCGCCGCAGCCCACCCGGCGCACACGCGATTCGGGTTCCACGAGAGTGCAGTGACGTGGGTTTCTTCATCAAAGATCGTAATCACCGCCGTCCCGTTAATCAGTCTCGGGTCACCGACCAGATTACGCAGCAAGCTGGTGTGTTCGGCGCGGTAGCCGTCGTGAAACCGACTAGTGCCTGTGCCTGTGCCTGAGCCACGCGCCCATTCATGCTGGAACCAGGTCTGTTGCCATTGTTTCTCCTTGGCGTGCATCATTCGTCGGAGGGGATTCGTGGCTTGCACGGTGCCGCCGGTGCAGCCGACGAGGAGGCTTGGGTGCCAGAAGCTGCAGGGTCCGAGGGCGGAGACCATGCTCGGGAGGCGAGCCACGGCGGTGGAGGTGAAGAAGCGGCGGATGGCGAGGAGGCGCAGAAAGTCGTTTTCGTCGCCCGAGACGAAGGAGTGCAAGAGCGGGGAGTAGGTGAGGTGAGCGGTGCCTACGCGCATGCGGTTTGCGCTGACGCTGTCTTTTTGGGGGTCGATGATGGAGGTGAGTCGGCTTTCGCCGTCCATGGAGGTGGTGCTGATGAGATAGGGATGGGTTGGGTAGGCGGAGGCGAGGTTGAGGATCCACGTCGAGTGGAGTTGCTGGTAGAAGTAGGGGATGGGATTGGAGGGGGAGGATGGCGATGAGACGATGCGCCAGATGGCGACGAATCCGTTGGCACAGCCTACGGCGATGTCGCTGGGAGAGAGCCATGTTACAGAGGTGCATACAGTCGAATGTGGTTTTGCTTCGAAGACGGGGGTTTGCAGTTTATCTGAACAGTTAGTTTGCGCCTTGGGCTTTGCTTTGGTAGATGGACGTACAGTATTCGGTCTGGTCTGGGTTACGACTCAGTTTGACGTCGATGACCCTCACCCGGCCATCTCCCCATATGCCTGCCAATAGGCCGACGTTCACCTGCGCATCTTTGTCGTCTTCATTCCGCGGGTCTCGAGGCATTGGGCACCAGGCCATTCGCCTCAGATCGCCCCAGTCGGTACACAGCGCGAGGCGTAATCGCGGCTTGGAGGTCATATCGGTTGTCTTGGTCAATGACGCGGCTTCTTCGGCCTTGAACTCCCAAAGCTGCAGGGCAGACGGATAAGGCGCTGAGGGTCTGAATGCTGGAGCCGCCTGGTCCTTGTACGGATCTGGATACTGCTCTTTTTGGTCTGGTAGGATTGGAGCCACGACGGACAGATACTGCGTGAGGCCAGTTTGATTTGGCACCCAGGCCAAACACTGGGCTTTGTTCCCTAAATTAAGAAGCCAACCCTCTCGCTTCTTTTTCTTTCGCTCAGACTGTTTTGTCTTGGCTTGCTTTCCTTGTTTCTGAGCTGTAGAAGCATCATCATCCCATGCCTCGCCGAAATCAAGCACATCATGCTGGGCAAGGGAAAAGACCTTCTGGTCATTAACCGGGCCAGCGAGCACGGTATGTGGTCCCCTGGAACGAGGAAAGTAGACCAAGCGAGCGTCATTCTCCTTGAGCTTCTGAATGCGCTGCCTCTTCCTAAACGGTGCACCCACATCCCTACTATAGTACCAGTCCCATGCACGGGAGCTTTCCCGTTTCATATCCTCAGCCTCCAGGCCAAATGAATTCCCGTAACCATAATCCGGCAAATCATGCGACTCGTTCAAAGTCTCGCGCGTCGGAAACGTAGAATCAACCCCCTTATACCAGCGATCCCGCGCACTTATAATAGAAAGTATATCCCTCTCATCCGTGCCGAATGTAACGCGCAGATGAACCGCCTTTCCAACATGCTCAAGGGGGTTCCACGAGCCGCGCGAATGTGTCTCCTCCCCGGGAACAGCAAGACTCCCATCCGGACGGCGTTTCTTAACACTGCTGCTGGGCTTTGGCGTAGCGGCAGCAGCGGGCTTCTTCCGCTGACGACGACTGCCCCCGTCAACTTCTGAGGCCGACGCATCGTCGTCTTCCTCTGCATCTTCATCTTCATTCTCAAGGACCATTCCCACGTCATTGTCATTATACTCATCATCATCGTCGTCGTCGTCATCAGCTCCGTTGGCATCGTCCATGGCAAAGTCTTCGTCCGAGGAACCCTCATCCGCGACAGCTTGTTTCGCCTTTCCCTTGCTCTTTTTGCGCTGCGGAGTTTCGGAGGTGGAGGGACCCTCTCCTTCGTCGCTAAGACCGGCCGCTTCGAAAGGGTCATGGACGTATTTTGTCCTGGCGCCAGAGGCGCGATTGGATCTGCGGGGACGAGGCATTGTGAATGAGGCAGAGTGCGGAGTACTGAATGCGATTTCCTAGAGGGTCAGAATAGATGTTCGTCGCATTGCGCATGAGCTGCGGTAGGCGGGTAGATTTGTTGGCTGTTGGCGGGCAATCGCTGCGCTAGCTATCAGGCATGCTGTAGACGGATTATAACTTTGCGATTGAGAGATTGAAGCATGGATTAGCGGGGGAAGTTCAAGAAAAAGAAAGATAACTGAAATGAAGAATGATGGATGGAGCTATGCTGTTTTCCTGTTCCGGGCAAGTGGGCTTGGCGGTACCTGTAAATACGCATTACGCCCCACTAGTGTGATACCAGCATCATTCAGTCAGATTATAAGATGAATCTTATAGGACTATAAGTTGGCATTGGATTGATTAATAGCGTGCTGTATATAAGGAGCATACCTTCTAGCTGCTAGTATTTACTCATCAATCCTGTTTCTCATGTGGCTACTATCTAATGACCTCCGTATCAGCCTGTCCACACTAAAAGACCCCGCTCATGCAAGCAGTGGGCCGGCAGTAGTTGCGCATCTCTTGAACCACAATCCATCGCAGCTAGCAGCAATGCTTTGACAACCTTCTACCTACCATCTATCTAACAAGGAACTACCCTCCAATCCCTTCTCCACTCACACACTATAACGCATCTACAAGCACAACCAACCAACCAACATGTCTCACCCCGGCATCCTCCACCACTACGTACATCCCCTCCATCCCTCCAAATCTATATCCATCTAACCACCACCACTCCAGGCCCCCCGCCTCGTCGCCTTCGAATTCACCCCTCCCAACAGCACCCCCAGTACCAACGCCCTACTCTTCATCGGCGGTCTAACTGACGGCCTCCTCACAGTCCCCTACGTCCCAACCCTCGCCTCCGCCCTCTCCACCACTACCCCCAACAACAAGAACACATGGAGCGTCTTCAACGTCCTCCTCACAACCTCCTACCAAGGCTGGGGCGTGAACAGTCTCGACCGCGACATCGAAGACCTCGCCCAATGCATAACCTACATCCGGAAACTCAAAGGTCCTGAATCCAAAATCGTTATAATGGGCCACTCGACCGGCTCCCAAGACGTGCTTCACTATCTCTCAGCCCCGAACCCAATCCCACACAACCCCGCCGTCAACGGACTTCAATACCTCACCAGACCCCCCGTCGACGGCGCAATCATGCAAGCGCCCGTTTCGGACCGCGAGGGAATGCACATCACCATCACTACGGCCGAGGCGCGAGGTGCGTACGAACAGCTGGTTGGATTGGCAAAGGCTGCTGTGGTTGAGGATCCGAGGGCGATTTTGCCCCTGAATTTGACGAGTTTGGTGGGATTGGATGCAGAGACGCCGGTCAATGCGTGGCGGTTCTTGAGTCTGGCGAGCCCTGAGAGTCCTGAGAATCCGAGCCAGGATGATTTGTTTAGTGCGGACTTGGGGGATGAGAAGCTTCGTCAGACGTTTGGGGTTGTGGGGGAGACGGGTTTGTTGGGAGGGAGGCTTATGGCGCTGTACTCGGGGGCGGATGAGTATAGGAAGCCTGGGTTGGATGTGGAGGGGTTGATGAAGAGGTGGCAGAAGGTGACGGATGAGGGGGCTGGAGAGGTGAAATGGGATGCGGAGGGGAGTGCGGTGATTGAGGGGGCAAGTCATAATGTGCAGGATGTTGGACAAGAGGAATTAGTGGAGAGAGTGAGGGGGTATTTGGCTAGACTTTAACCCCATACAACCACTACCTATAAGTCATATATAGATAGACAGCAGACAAACACCACATTGAACCCAGTAAATACTATACAGAGCACTCAAGCTAGAAAGAATAAAAAAAAAAAAAAAAAAGAAAAAAGAGGGTATAAAAGAAAACCACCCACCACCACCCAATAAATAGTATAATAGTGTTCAAACCTTCAACCAAAGCGTCACCACCCCCTTCAAATACTCCACAATCTCACTTCCCCCCAACTTACTCTCGCCATACAACCGATCCACAAACGTAATCGGACACTCAGCAACCCTGAACCCCATGGCCTTCGCCCTCACCATCATCTCCATCTGAAAACTATACCCCTTACTCTGCGTACTATGAATCACCTTCTCCAACACACTCTTCTTATACAACCGAAAACTTCCCGTCAAATCACTCACCCCGGGCATCAACATCACATCCGCAATCAGATTCGCCGTACGGGAAGTAAACTTGCGGAACAAATCCCAGCCATACACACCACCCTTGATGCCATCGCGGCTCGCGTACCGTGTGCCCGTCACGATATCTGCATCCCCCAGCTTCTGGATGCGGATCATCTCCGGGATGAATTTCGGGTGGTGGCTGAAGTCGGCGTCCATGATGATGACGTAGTTGCCGGTCGTGAATTGGAGGCCGTGGATGTAGGCCGTTCCCAGACCGAGTTTGCCTGCTCGGGGGTGTAGGAGGATGTGGTTCGCGCCGTAGTGCTTTTGGAGTTGTTTGGCGATGTCCAGGGTACCGTCGGGGCTGCCGTCGTCGACGATGATGATTTCCCAGTCTAGGTTGCTATTATTGTTGTTCTTCGTTAGTATGGTCTTGTACTTGAAGAAGAGGGGGGATGGGAAGGAAGTGGGAGGTGTACTTCTCGCGAAAGGTCCGCTCCAGGAGCCAGACGATGATAGGGAGGTTCCTGCGCTCGTTGTAGGTCGGCAGGATGACCGAGTATTTGTTTTCGGCGCCCATTGTGTTTGACAGTTGAATGAAAAGAGAATGGATTTAGTTAGGTAGGGTAGCGAGTGTGTGTGAGTGGGTGAGTGGTGACAGACAGATTGGAACTGTTGTCGTCAGGAGAAAAGAGGTTGAGTTAGGTTAGTCGTATTATTATTGCCGCGGGAGATCCGCGTTCGTCGTAACGTGGCCAGTCTAGACTAGACTACGGAGTACTACTAGACTACTACTGTACTATCTGGAGCAGAACAGGGCACGGACTTCCTCTCTCTCTCTTTCTCTCACAACGTAGATTACATATTGTAGTCCTATTTATCCCCATCCACACAATCTATTCCACATCACAGATAAAAATACAAAACATACACAAACACAAACGCAACTAACAATTGAAAGGTTCAACCAACCCGTTCCGACGGCCGATCCGCCCTCTTCTCAATCTCCTCATTATGCCGTCTCACATCCTCGGGCGCATCCGCCGAGGTCTTCCCATCCTTATCGACATACGGCGACTCATCCCCATCAGCTAAAGTCGGATGGGCCTTGTTCGATGGCTCCTTGCTGCTGCTGCTGCTGCTGCTGCTCTTCGCGGATCCAGTGTCCGGTGCAGGCGGTCCTAAATAAATAGAATTGAATGATCAGCTTCTATGCGACCGGTGTATAACATCACTGCTGCGTACCTGGGTGCTCAATGTCTCGCGTGGGTTGGTTCCGCGGGTTATTGGGCTGCTGGGCTTCGGTGTCGCCTTCGCCCCCGTACGAGCTGTGAGCGTAGAGGCGTTGTCCCAGGGGGTAGTAGGCGCTGCGAAGAGGTGCTAGTTGGCGGGCGGAGATGGAGGAGGGTGTGGCTCGTAGGGAAAGGCGGTTACGGAGGAAGACGCTCATGATGTAGGTTATGGTAGCAAACTTGATAATTGATGGTATATCTGTGGTGGAAAATATAACAATCTAGCAGACAGATAGATAGATCTTAGATAAGTAGTTGATAGTAGTTTGAAAAAAGATAGTATGAGGTAACATCATTCAGTGGCTGTTCGCCTATATAGTAGGCAGAGGTCGATGTCGCGATCGCCATGACGTTGCCGACCGGTCATCCACCTTGCAACTTATGGATCGACCAAACATCGCCCCAGTTCTTAGGATTTACCTGTTCCACTGAATAGACGCACTCGTTACGCTCGCCCGCGAGACCAAAAAGCATCTCTTGAACCCAGAATTTATTATCTTGGCTGCTTCAGCCCATGAGAGCAAATGAATTCAGACAATATTGCCAGAACATGTCGAAATGCCACAATACCAAACGCCATCCCATTGATGGCCGCCGATAACAAGGTAATAGAAAACAAAAGCCAGCAAGGAAAGGTCCAGAAGTTGCGGGCCTCGATAGAATTAAACGAATGACTTGTCATGCCCGTAGTGTATAGTGCCTGGCACCGTTTCCCACCCAAAAAACGCCGCCGAACTATTGTCGGACAAAAATGTGAAAATGTGCCAATGCAAATAGGCAAGCCAAAATCAACCAGAAAATAGCTCAAGGACAATGCCACCCAGCTTCAGGGGTGTTCAATACACGGAATGCACGCCGTACTCTGTCAACAGTACCGGATCTCATACCCAGAAAATAAACCAGCAGTCTTCGCAAGACAATCATTCGTATGCACGTGAGTCGAGAAGAAAATCGTTCCTTGGTCTAACGCCGACGCCGTGGTTGTAAGAGGCCACGTTGGAAAACAAAAGCCGCTCTCGTTTCATCTTCGTTCTTCGGTTTCATGCCCTGTCGCATCAGTCCGTCAGGGATATGCAATAGCAATAGCTCTCATATTCGGCCTTGGCCGTATAAGTCTGCGATGTCCCCGTGGCGGCCTCCACGGTCGTCGTCGGCGTGGGTTGAACCACCTTGATTTGTACTGTCTCTTGCGAAATTGGGCCGACTTGGCCGTCATCCAGGACCTGCATCTGCTGGCAGTATGGATTGGCGGCCGAAGGATTGTCTCGCTTCTCCTCCATCTTAATCCGGCGAGGGTAGTCGGCGATGCTGCTGCTGCTGTCTCTCTTGGAGTAGGAGTTCGAGCTCCCTTGAGTGGCCTGCGCTATCTGAGTGCTTGTCGTCGTCACAACTGCGGTGCTGCTGTACTGATACTCCTTGGTCGTCTCGTTGATGTACAAAAAGAACTCCATGACCGTGCTATTCCACCAACAGAACCACGGCTTGTCGCCCGCCTGAGCCGTTTGCTTGCGACTCAGCATACTCGACACGACTTCATCTTCAGTCACATAGTCTCGTTTTGAGGACGAGCTCGATGGGAAGCTATCCTGCGGCACAATGACCAGTTTATCATAGAACGTCATGAAGGTCAAAGCTGGGCCAAAGCTGAGATCATTGGAGTCCATCATCATACTCAAATTCTGAGTGGGGTTAGAGAAGACGGGCTGCTGGGCACCATAAGTGAGTGACGAAGAATAAGCGCTGTCGTAAGAGTCTTCGAATGTAATATTGCGTTGCTCGTCCGTTCCTCCAACATTGATAGGGATCTTGCCCGAATTGAGGCAACCCCACGACACCCGGTAGTCCGAATCAGCCACGCAGAATTTCGACTGGTTCTTAGGTGATGCGGGGATAGCGTATTGGCCAGTAGGAAGCGTCAGCAGGTTGGTGGGCGTGGCTGTCACGGGAGTCGCGTCCATCCTGGGCGTCTCCGTCACCGTCACGATATGTGGGCGACTCGGCTGGCCCCCGTGGTCTTGCTCGGCTGCCTTTCTTGCTCCTAGCACACCGCCAATAATACCACCGATGCATCCTCCAATAAGCATAACCACTCCCACCAAAACCAGCGTCCAGACCGGTAATCCACAACATGCCTTTTTCTTGCCTTTACTCTTCAATTTCTCCTCAAATGCCATGACCCCAGTGACCGGCGGTTCTTCGAGGCCTCTGTTTCCATTACCGTTACCGTTAGCGTTACCGCCTCCACTGGTTGTATTTTCCATCACTAGTGTATTTGAGGAAACCTCCGACATGGGTGGTCCAGCACGCTCATTATGAAGGATTTCGTCTTGCATGATGCCAGCATCATTGACGGTCGCAAAGGTGCCCTCCACTTTGGGAACAGCATTTTCGGGATAACGAGAGTAAGGAGGTAGTTGTTCAGTATGACCATCTGGTCCAATTAAATCGCCAAGGTCGTCATCGGCCCGGTTAGGTGGTCGCTGATAGACTTGGGCGTTGTGTCCAGGAAAGCCAAGAGGTACCATGGAGTTGTCAATTCCGTCATCCTCTGCCACTACGTTCTGTGGGTACATTGCATACGGATGCTGAGGGGCAGTCGTGTCCTCTAACGGTCGGTCCACCGGTCGTAATGTCGATGTGGTGGCCACACTGGGAGAGCGACTAACGCCGACCTGCGGGTACATCGCATACGGATGGCTGGGACCGGTTGCCCCCGTGTAGGGGCTCAAAGCCCGAACGGGCATGGAGAAACGCGAGGAGGCACTTTGGCTGCGACTGGTGATGGAAGGAGCGGTGGACGCGACGGAGTTGCGATTCGCTAGATCCACCCCCTTCGGAGGAAGACTCGATCGGTGGGGGGTTTCATCGAAGGAAACCCGAGCCTCATCGCCAAAAGGATCCTCAGCTAATTCGGCCTCGGTCGGAGGGATGGTGTTGTAGGCCTTGGGCTGCTGCTGTTGGGGTACCGAACCACGAAGGGTGTTGGAGGAGACACTGGAGGAGATGGAGGGGCTTCGAGGGGTGAGAGTGGCTTGTTCGGCATCAATAGGTTCTAAGGAGTATTCGTCGGAGAAGACATTGGGGTTGGAGGAGCGACCAGACATGGAACGATGATGCATTGAATCGACTTGTTGAGACGGGGGTCGCGAGGACTGCGAGAAGGAACGGTTGTGGTCGGATGATAGACGCCCAGACATGGCGTTGAACAGCCCTGTCGGGCTACCTGTTTGTTTCAATCAATCTCTCAGAGGAGTCGGCCAGTCACCTGGGTCGACTGAAGCCGTTTACCGAATAGAGGTGATTGAGAGTTAAGAAGGAGAGAGCGAGAGAGAGTGAGCGGGAAAGAGTGACGAGTCGGAAGGAGAGGAAGGGGATAAAAGAGTGATAAAAATCACGACAGCCAAGGGAAGAAAGGTATCTAAAAAGATAGGATGAGGATAGAGAGGATGAAGCGTTGGTGGGATGGAGTGGGAGAGGGTAGGATGTCGTGATGGTGGTGGTAGTGGTGGTGGTGATTAGGTAGTGGAGGGAGGAATGAGAAAGAGGAGAAGGGAAGGGGAAGAAGAGCCGAGTTTCAAGCCAGTCAAGGCCAGTTCAAGTCAGTCGGACGAGTTGGGGACGGAGTGGCTGCTGCCTCAGGAAGCCAGGGCCGCCCGAGCTGTGGCCGAAGGGGGTTTAGCGCGGACTGGAAGTGGGCAAACGAGCGAAAAAAGTGGGCGGCCTCTTTTCTTTTCGGGACCCAAGAAAGAGAGTGACGCTAGAGTGCAACAATAACAAGAATCAAGCTAATGAAAACGAAAGGATGGACTTGGGACATTGGAAAGGAATTAAATTTCAGCAAGTCCTTCCATTTTAACTATCAAACCATTCATTCTTATTGCGTAGTCTCTAGATAGATACTCCGTCTCCTCCCGTCATAGTCGATTTGTGTTCTATTTGTGGCATGTAGCTACTGCTGCGCCTCGCCACTACGGGTTACTTACTATCTATCTATCTAGTCGCGCTGTCGTAGTGACAGATACGGGGTAGTCTACCTCCCTCTCTCTGTTCTGCCGTGTTGGCCTAGAACATTCACTATCCACTTGCTTCTATGTAAGTAAGAAGGACCAAAAAAAAATAGAGGGTAAAAATTAATAAAATAAGAATTAAAAACGAGATTTTTCGAATAACAGACGTGAAACACTGGCCATGGTTCTTGTCATCTTTTCAGGCCCTATCCGGCGCTGAAAGTATGAGGCAAAGTACCCCGGCAAGCAACCGGCGTGGAGGCGTGACCACTCAAGTAACGCACCCACACTCCCACTTTCCCACTCTCCCCTCTCTCTCACTCTTCTCCCTCCTTGCGAAGCAACTTTGGGCCTGAAACACTACACTACATCTTCCTCCCCCGTCGTCGTCAGAGGCGCCTGCAGCAGAGACACCGGTCGCTTCTTCCCTTAGTCCCAAGCGGTGTGCTCCGGAATCATCCCGTTCCTTGGCAGCATGACTTCGCTAATTCCAAGTATCTCGTCTATAGACCTTTCCATAGGTGATCTGATCCGATCGGTGGATATTTTGTTTTTCTGCGTTGTGGGCGCTTCTTCTTTTTCTTCTACTTTGATTCCCTTCTTTCCATCCATTCATCTTCCCTGGTCCCTTGATCCGCCCTATCCTCCACAATCAAAATATGCCAAAATGAGCTAAACTAACCGTACACATGGAAACCCACACCTTCTTTGCCTCAATCGGGTATGATCCGCCTCGAGTTCGGACAACCTCCAGGAGGCGGACTATCTCTCTGGAGGCAAAAGCGAGGAACGAAAAAAAACTAAAACGGTCAGGACCAACCAAACTAGCGGCCACTACTGGAGACAGAGGGGTCTAGTCATATCCGCCCGACTCTGAAGAAGGGTTCGTGAGGTGCTGCCGGTGGAACCCGCGAGGACCTAGTTGAAGTAGTGCATGGTTCGGAAAACTCTATCTGGCCGAATTCGGAAAGGCGCGCGCAATCCCTGGCTTGGGTAAGGATGCACGCATCTCCAAGATCTACGCAGTTTGGTTATCATGCGGTCGGGCGATTATATCATAGGAATGGACGGACGCTCTTTTCGCCGTTTCCGGCCTGTCACACAGGCTTCAGGTCAAGTGACAGACACACACAATGGTTGAACACAATTCTTGAATTATCATTATGCTAAGGGCAATAGTCTAAGCAAGTGATGGTAGCCTGGCTCGCTACCATGCACGATCTCCTGCCGGTCATATAGACCATGGGATGATCTGGATGGTGGGCGACCCATGGCATCTGGTACCTGTCTGTCAGGAACCATCTAATCAAGGGCCAATGAATGAGAGGGATAGAAAAAAAGAAAGAACAGAACAAAAATTGACAAAAAAGAAAAGCAAATACCGAAAGGGTGGGCAGCTTACATTACATAGATCGGAACCTCAAACATGCAATAGACACGACGAAAATATGGGAATGTTCACAGAAATGTACACACAACAAACAAAAGGAATTTATGTACTAGACAGCATCTCCAAACTCAAACATATCAGAGATCGTACTGTACACAAACGAGTGGATACTTGCCAGGACGTCGCCCTTGACAAGTCAAATTTTGGCTTCAGTGGCGCTCTGCTTGAATTGCTCTAGCTTGATTCGAATATCAGGCCCCGAGCACTCAAACTTATCCCAGGCACGCCGGTTCCAATCAGAAACCCAGGGGTAGTCCACAACAACTTTCTGTAAGTTAGGACATGAGTCGAGGATGTGCTGGACTACATTTACCCAGCTTCCGTGCGCCAGGCCAACGGATTGAAGGTCCAGTATCCTCAGGGTACTATTGAAGCGTGTTAGCCACATGATCAAATCTTCCGGCTCAACTGTGAGATAAGAGAGCCTCAGCTTCTCGAGTCGGTTAGTTCGTATGTTTGCGGAGCTGGCTAACTTGAATATTGTTGAACGACGTGCAGGGGTGTCAGCTAGACTGTGGAGGGAAAGGCTTCGAAGTTCTGGGGCGTGCTGAAGGATGTGGGAGAGAGCAGTACCTCTCGAAAAATCCAATGAGGGCGACTCGGTAATCTTGAGCGACTTCAGGCGCCTCCACACCCTTGCAAGATTTGGGTGCATCATTGACTTCTCGTTCGCCCGCGACTTGACAACCCTGCTGTCCAGTATGAGTTTCTCGACTGGGACGGTGTTTTCAGCAAGGACTGCATAAAGAGCGTCCTCGATGTACATGATCTTGTTCTCCAAAGTCGACCCTGCCCTGGCGAGTGTGAAATGAAACTCTTTGCAATTGACTAACCGATTCAAGTCCTGCCTCAATGCTTTCATCTCTGGAAGCTCATGAAGGGCCTTGCGGTCGTAAGATAGGCGCCCCCAACTTACCTTCCGTGCAGTACTGTACCCGATATAGGGCACGGTTACATGCAACGACCTGGGAAGGTGATTGATTGTGGGGTCAATCGCCAGAGTGTGGATGTTTTCGATCTCTATGGGCGTGAGCCCGGTGTGTTTCCTGGCATGTAAGGAAGCAAGAATGGACGGGTAGGCCAGTTTGCTCACCCTTTGGGAGACGAGATAGAGGCTATAGAGCCCATCTCGGTCAAGGTAGCTGGCGATCATGTCGAATAGCTCTGCAGGCAGAGTATCGAGGTTCTGAGATGCCTTTCGGGGTTCTTCGAGCACTGCCTGCTCCGCTGTTTCCTGCTCGGGAGATGACGGCTCGGTCGATGGCTGCTCTGGTAGTGACTGGGATAGAAGTGACCTCACACTGAAGTCTGTGGAAGACCAAGATCGGGCCGAAGTCGCGCTATCTTGTACACACAATGCCCACTTCCCCCAACTTGAAGAAACACAGTTGCCCATAGCGAAGGATTGGTGCCGAGTTATAGCACGGATAGGGTTCTATGCCGGAGCTATGATTCCAGCTCGTGTTAAACTATGATTTCAACATATTCTGCCATGGACAGCATGAGATGCCTATATACTAATCCAATCAGACGGCAAGCCATGGTGACACAGGGATCCCATGGCTTCCCAGACTGGCTTATTACAGCTATGGGTTTTGGATGATGACGAACAAGGCAATGGGTAGGCCATGAAAAAAGCCGCCATATCGTGCCTATGTCTCATACAATGGCGGGCATTTCCTCGGTCGAGGTATTACTATTCAATGAACTGCCTTTGTTTGTTGGCATGGCCTCAGACGATCGACAATTTGAAGCTGTCCATTGTTCAAGCTGTGTTTTGTTCTGATCAAGAAAAGATGATTAAGCGGCATCCTTCTTTCATTCTGGTGTTGGTGGCCGGCCCGATTGGCTGAACCGTTTATATAACACAACAGTAGAGGAAGTTTCCCGTCGATGGATCCACGCACCGATCTCAAAGAAACAGTGGTTCTGAAGGTGGAGTTCTGGCTAGTAATAATCAACCAGTCAGACTGCAATCTGCTGAGAACCAACGATGACCAGGCCACAACAATTAAGAAGAAAGACCCGGAGCCACCATAACCCCTCACAGTTCACAACTGGCTCAGACTAGTTGTTCCAAATGGCCCACCATCGTGAACCTCCTACATTGGGTATGCCATGTGGTTGGGTTTATCCGCTGTCAGGTACCCTGGACGCTCTGTGGAGAGACTACACCCTCACAGCAGTTACAACCGACGGAGTCCACAGGTTCTGTCTGAAGCCCGGCCAGACCTTCCAACCAGTCCACATTCCAGGCCAGATCGTGAATTATCCCCCACCGGTCAGGACACAACGCTTTGGGTTGGAAAACAGGCCTGGGTTGGCACAAGGTACTACTTGTCTGACATCAGTCCCTGGGTCGTGTAACCAGGAATCACCCGGGGCCTAGTGGAACTGTCGATACTCGTAATCGGCCCAGTGGTGCTTCTGGGATGATCCGATAACACACGCGGGTTTTTATCGGAGCCTGCAGGTTCTCGAGCTGAGGCACTCGGTTTCGCTGTGCTGTTACACGTCTATTGGTGGATGGGCAGCATTGACTGTCTGAGAATGGAGTTGTCGGGATTCTCCCCTCAACGCTCTTTGCATTCTGGAATCATTTGGGACGTTTTTTGTGATCGGTTCGAGTTCTTTCCCGACCTTGTTGCAGAGGTGTCTGGCAATTGGGTGAACTAATCACTTACTCTAAGCGTACTAGTTGGCGCGCATGTTTTCTAGGTCACACGTCGGGCATCTTCTACTCCTTCAGTGACGCACCGATATCGCCATTGTCCGATCTCACGCACGGTTCTTTCCTTTGGTCTTGCGGCAGGATCGTCATCTTAGCTCTGTATGCCATCGCACTTGTTTGGCGGTCTGAGTACGAAAGCTTTCTTGCCGCTTAACGACAGTGGGTGTGTATGTGCGCTGATAAATTGTGCCGGCTAGTCTGGTATCCCCGTATGGGTACTTCTTGCATATCTCCGCAAGGGTACAATAGAATTTCTTTGCTGATTAGGCAAAAGTTCGCTGTCACTGTGCGCTTGGAGAAATGGTTCTCGGATCCTGGGGTCTGTTCTATCGACGTATCCAACCACCACTGGATTGGCTAGACAGGCAAGTTTAGCGGTGTCTTTGTGTGACATTCTATGTTACGCTCTCATATTGTGTGGCACAGTCTCGGTGCCACTATGTCATGCCTTCTGTGCATGGGGCGGGCATGAGCCGCTCGGCACAAAGCAGCATGGTCTGTATGAATGGCAGTTGGCTTGGTATCCAAGCCTCTCATATATACTCCATGATCAAAGCTACTGGATCTGAGGTCTACAGCTTGAAAGCCTTGGCATGCCACCAGCCTTGGAGAATTCACGGTACTACCCATTAAGAGCGCTTCCGTAGCTGGCGTGTTTGGTATTGGGGTACCGTGTCACTAGTACTGGTACAGTTTACTGGAAATCACCGGTAGCCGAAGGTTGGTGGCATGACTTGTGCATGATCCTACAGAAATATATATCCACACATCCAATGACTCCTCCGACGGAGTTTACTGCGTTACAACCACGAAAAAAAAAAAAAAAAAAAAAAGCCAATGACAGCATGTGTATTTACATTATTAGCATACAAATCTCACATAGTACAAAAGCCTGAACTCAACCGCTGCCATACTGCCACCAGACCTAGACAGTGAAAGAGCAAGAGAGCGTGAACGAGAACTGAGGCGAAGAACGCGGGGCAACCAAAGCTAGCATGGCTTTATTAGTCACCAAATATAAGTGCGCTTTGGCAGTTCCATATTATAATGAACTAACAGTAATCACTTGTTATCAACCATTTATGCTTTCCTCAACACTATCTCCAAGAAGAATCAACGAGCGAGCATACTCTATACGGATCTTGAGTTAGCTCGATATGAATTAGCGTACGCAAAATTCTTTTTAACAAATGGGCCTATGGCGCAATTGGTAGCGCGTAGTAAGTTTCATTGAATCAAACAATGGTTCCAACATCCACTAACCACTTCAACAGCGACTCCAGATCGTAAGGTTGTCCGATCGAGCCGGGCTGGGCTCATTCCCATCTTTTTATATTTGCTTTTTCTTCTTTTTGTACCCCAGTAACCTGCAAGTTATCGTAGTCGTCTTGTTCACTGAGATAATGCTGAATGGTGCCACAATGGTCAGTTCATGGCTATTGCAGAATTGCATCATTCATTATCCATGAAGTCCGTAGAATCACACAGGCGTCATTTTGCTGAGCTTGACTCTTCGTCTCTGTCTAAAAGAAACAATTTGTAGGCTGGACATAGCAAGTACTACGAGCAAGTCCCTCGCAATTGGACATGCAGATAGCATCCCAATGTAGGAAGATGCAGTCGCAGTAGCTATGCTGATGCATGCATGCCTCAGGCTGCAACAGGTCTATCTCCGCCTCCGCGCCCAAGGCCGACCGACCGACCAGCTTCTCCAATTCCCCCCTCTGTCAAACATACCTACTCCCCCAACAAGAGGCTTCTCGCCGCTGAAGCTTGGCCGCCATGTCGGATGAGTCGAAATCAAAAGGCTTCCCGGACATCTCGGCCAAACTGTCCGCAATCCCCAAGAAGTCGCTCTTCGAACGCCAGAAAGCCGAAGCGGAAGCCAAACGAGCCCGCGAGCAAGCCGAGACCGCCGCCGTATACGAGGACTTCGTCAAGTCATTCGAAGATGACTCACCAGCACACGACCGACATTCCTCCGATGGACGATTGAGCCGATTCCCCCCCAAGAATCCAGGCTTTGGAGGCCCCGGAAAACGCCATTTCACGAGCTCGGGGCCGCGCTTGAGCGGTCCTGGTACTCTGGGACCACCACCTCCGAGAAAGCGCCCACACGAAGGGTTTCAGCCAATACACCGTAATCGGGATACAGCGTCGGGGGTACTGGGGTTTGATAATACTGCACCGGCTGCCGCGTCGGCTTTCCGTGCTTCGGACGATGAGGATGAAGCAGCTGCTGATGCGAAAGAGGCTGAACGGGCTGCTGCGAAGCCTACGTTATATCTTGCGTCTCTACCGCCCGGGACTTCGCCTTCGGTGCTTAAGTCTTTGATACCCTCTGTGTTGACTGTCGATAATGTTAAGATCCTGCGACCCCCAGGTCAGCTTATAAACGACCGGAAGTCGGTGGCCGCCATTGTGACTCTCGCAAATGAGTCTGCGGCCTCGGATATCGATAGCACTGTTAGCGCTCTACAGAACAGATACCTAGGATGGGGATACTATTTGACAATCTCGAGACACCTTTCCTCTGCCGCTATTGGCTCGACGATGCCGGTCACTGTCGGCCTGTCTTCCGCAAGCTCTCTTCCTTTTGGCGCCAAGCCGATAACGCCCGATATCCCTGGACGACTCAATCGTGCTCCACCCCCGGGGTTGCATCGTGGAGGATTCGCGCCACCGTCGTCGTACGGATCGGCTTATGGGAGACCTGGTCCTTCCACCCAGGTTGAGGTGAAGGCACCGTCAGACTTGAAACAGCTGAAGTTGATACACAAGACACTGGAGAACTTATTGAGCTATGGACCGGAGTTTGAGGCGCTGCTCATGAGCAGACCCGAGGTCCAGAGAGACGAGAAATGGGCATGGATTTGGAATGCTAGAAGTGCTGGTGGGGTGTACTATAGGTGGAAACTGTGGGAGATTCTCACCAATACCCGCCCTCCTGCAAATCGACGGGGTAGGCCGCAACCACCATGCACTATATTCGAGGGTGGTGCGACTTGGGCCCCGCCGGAGGCACATATCAAGTTCGAGTATACAACACGCATGGACGAGTTTGTAACGGACGATGACTACGACTCCTCTGACGAAGAGATGTCGGATTATGAGGACGAAAGGCGGAACCTTGGCGGTGCACCGCCAGCAGAGGGTCCTGGCGCCGCAAATGAGGGACTGGGCTATATGAATCCTTTACAGAAGGCCAAGCTAACCCATCTGCTTGCTCGACTTCCGACTACGCATGCCAAATTACGAAAGGGAGATGTTGCTCGAGTTACTGCTTTCGCCATTGAGCACGCGGGCGCAGGGGCCGACGAAGTCGTGGAAATGATTGTATCGAACATCATGAACCCGTTTGCCTACACTGGGGCGAATCCCGATCGTGAGGCAGAAACAGGAATTGCCCGTCGTGAACAAGCAGACTTAGCCAAGGATAATCCCGCCGAGGAAGGGCGGCCACCGACGAAGGAGAATCTGGATACATCAGCTGCAAAGTTAGTTGGTCTCTACTTAGTATCCGACATTCTCTCATCTTCCGCCACGAGCGGCGTGCGACATGCTTGGCGGTATCGGCAGCTTTTCGAGTCTGCGTTGAAGACACACCAGGTGTTTGAGCATCTAGGGAGACTTGAGAAGGACTTCAGATGGGGCCGACTGAGGGCCGAAAAGTGGAAGCGTAGTGTTGGCACTCTTCTTCACCTGTGGGAAGGCTGGTGTGTGTTTCCGCAGTCTAGCCAAGAACACTTCTTCCAGATCTTTGAGAAGCCGCCGCTCACGGAAGAGGAGCTACGAGAAGAGAGGGAGAAGGCCGAGGCCGAACGCGCTGCGAGTGCATTCTCCAAGAACAAGAGCCGCTGGAAGACAGTCGATGAAGATGCTACCTCCGGGAAGTTTGATCCTGGGCGAGCGTCTGAAACACATCCTCACCGGATGGATGTCGATAAGCCGACGGCTGTACCAGCAGCGGTTGAGAATTTTGATGGGGAATCAATGAGTGATATTGATGGAGAACCTATGGAGGACAGCGACCTGGAAGGGCCGGATGGAGAGCCAATGGAAGAAGACTCTGCTGCAGAGGAAGATCCCAGGGAGTCGGAAGAGCAACCACAAAAACCAGCCGAGCCACCAGCCCAACCGGAGTACCAGCCGCCAGCCCGAAAGCCGCGGCCTAAAGCCGAAGATATGTTTGCCGATTCAGACGATGAGTGATATAGGGCTGCTCGGGTATGAATGGTGAAGACGGAATGATATGTCTATATTACTAGGTTAGAATGTTGGGTTACGATACCTTTTCTCGTATTATCACATCACAATGGGCACTGTCTACCATGCAGTAGGAGATTGGTTGCAGATGTAGAAACTACCAGTCAACAAGATGTATGAAAGTGAAGCTGTAAAAAGTGAGCGGAGTGTCATGCTTGCTGCCTTAAGGGCGCTAAGGCACCGACCCTGGCGGCGCCCCACAATTCCCCTCGCGACGGAAATACTTTTGATGTTGATGTCAACCTCGACTCTTTCCTTCCTGTCTATCCCACTGCCACTGCCTCATCTCCTTGCATCTTCTTCTTTTTAGATCTCACAAATACCACATCCATCAAAATGGCCGGTAAGTCCACTCTCGCGCCGTCGCTCTCGATGCGACGCCCCGTCCATCTCATCTGATGTTTTGCTGCCCCTCTCTGAGGCTCTTGGGCTCCCCCTCCACGGCGAAACCCACCACCACCTTCACATACAATCCTGAGAATGAAAGCTTACGCAATGCCTTCAACATCTAGACTTCCAGAACATCGCACGTACGTGTTATTACCTCCGATATGGCCCCCATACCCCATCAATCAGGGGATGACTGCATGCATCGTCGCATCAGACAGTCCCCCTCCTATTCCCATATGCGTCGCAGACACCCGAGTCTATCCAAATAGACTGCCTCCATAACATGGCCTAACACATGTCGCTACGAACAGAGCAATTTGTGCAATTCTACTACCAGACCTTTGACTCGGACCGTCAGCAGCTGGCCGGTCTCTACGTACGTTGAATACCCCGCAATCCCTCTATAGTATACTCTCATTTGGCTAACGATTTCATCACCTGATTGATAGCGCGATAACTCCATGCTCACCTTCGAGACCTCTTCTCAGATGAGCGTCGCCCCCATCATGGAGAAGCTGACCGTTAGTTTTCTCACTGGCCTTTGCTGAGAACCCATTACCAGCTTGACTGACACATGCAATGCGATACATTACAGAGCCTTCCCTTCCAGAAGGTCCAGCACCAGATCTCCACTCTCGATGCTCAGCCCTCTGTTAACGGCAGCATCATCGTCATGGTTACCGGTGCCCTTATCGTATGTACCCTGCCTTCGTTAGCGGAAGAATGCCTTCCCTCTTCTCCCGCACCCGCACCCCCTAAATTAACCGAGGTTGGCTTACTGTTCATTTAACTGACTTAATTCCGCCTTTCTTAATAGGTCGACGATGAGCCCCGCCCCATGAACTACACCCAGACTTTCACTCTCAACCCCGAGGGTGGCAGCTACTACGTCTTCAACGACATCTTCCGTCTCATCATGGGTTAAATTTGAATCATGAGGAAAATAGCGGGGCTTGTTTTGGTGTGACGTGTGTGATGGGTGATTAGGGGGGGCCCATTCAGTAGACAGCTTTCCATGAGATGAAGTTAATGAATTAGTTCCAAGAGGATCGACACATGCTTTTGGTTGCTGTGATTCAATATATTCCCCTGTCCTTTCATTGTGAGAGTTTATATTATTCTCTTCCTTGTTTACTAATATATATACTATACTATCCGCCCCTTTCTCTCTATCATGTTTGTGCCTGGAACCGAGAACAGTCAATCATACACAGCTGCGCCAGCAGCGATTGATACATTGCAGCCAAGAAGTATAGTCTATCCAAGCAAGGTATGTAAGTAGGATATACATGGCATGTGAACAGAACAGGACGATCTCAGAAGAAGAAGAAGTACAGTTTCGCGCTTTTGCATCTTCAAACCAACCGACCAATCAACCAACCAACCACATATCAGACTCTCCAAAAGCCAAACAAATGAAGATGTTCATCACTGATCCCTCAACAAAGGCGTCTCCTCGGACGGCAAGTCCTGATCATCTTCATGCGCCACCTCCTCTTCCCCATCCTCTCCCCTCGCAACCACAGTATCCTTATCATGTCCTTCATGACCGTGTCCCCGATTCGGTCCTAGGAACTCAAAGAACACACCCAAGCACAGCAACGTCCCCTGCAGACAAGCAGTCACGATCAACACACCCCAGGTACTCCACCCCTTCGGACCTAATCGCGCTGCGAGACTGCCCGCCCAGACAAGACTGCCGGGCGTTTGGATGCACATCATGGGGATACTAAGCGATCCGACGCAGCGGAGTCGCAGGGTGGTGTAGATCTGGGGGAAGTATTGGATGGAGGCGAGGAGGGCGGAGAGGATGCCGCAGAAGTTGGACCATGCTTGGAGGGAAGAAGGGCGGGTGTAGCCGACGGCGAGAGTGGTGATGAGCATGACGGCGGCGTGGAGGATGCAGATGACGGCGACGGTTAAGGCGGTGCGGTAGGTTGGGCTGGATTTGGGGAGGTGGGTGGTATTTCGGGGGAAGAAGAGGACGAAGAGGAACAGACTAAATTTTGATATCAGTATTAGGATCTTTTGGGTGAGAATAATGAGAGGGGGATGGGGCTGGACTTACATGATGAAGAAGCAAAGGCATTGGGTTCCGACTTGGAGGATTCCGAGAATTCCTGCGAAACAGCCCATTCCGTTCACTTCCTTGCAGCAGGCCATGTCGTGGAGGCTTTGTTGTTGCGAGATGACGTTGGCTAGTGCCGAGGAACCAGATGTGGTTCCTAGGAGGACGAAGTACGGTGAGATACCGAAGGAGGTCTTCATTGTTAGGATGCGGACATGTTGGGGGGTGTAGGAGAGGAGGATTCCAAAGACGATGAGGCTGGATGCAGTTAGCTTGAGCTAGAGTTGACTTGGGTAATGGTTGGAAGACAATACATACATGGAGAGGATGAAGTTTTTGATATCAGGCGAGGCCAGATGCTCGCATCGCGGATTAGAGAGGTCCATGTTGAGAAGCTACTGTGACTGCACACACAGGACCACGTATATATCCGATATATGGCTGTCACCAGCCAGAGATAACTGTTCCAGACAGAAGGTATGAATCAAATCAATTAATTCAGCAAGCGGGACGTCGAGCACAGCTGGACCATTAGATGTACCCCGAGCATAGGGGGCGGTTTGGAGGGAAAGGCGGAGGCGGCCCGAGACAGCGGCGGATTATTGGATCCTAAAACAACATTCTCATACCAGCACACACCCGCGTTGATTGGACCTGTGTGGCAGAGGGAGTGGATGAGGATGACTTGTCAGGTAGACATTAGTTGAGTAGGGTAGATAGTGCCAAAGTAGGAGGAGTGAGGAATGAGTTAGCAGATTAGTTCCCTTGACTAGCCATCACTAAGCAGTTGTTCTCCTTATCGCCCGTCTCCGCATTGCCCAATTAGGCAAGGCTGGGCCGATCGCCCTAAAGAGTTAGCGGCAGATCATGTGCCTTGCATTAAGAAACATCAATAGTATAGTTACTTGATGTATATTGTTTTGTTCACAGAGTCAACCAAGTCACGAAAGTTACTCCCCCCCCCGGTCGCAGGCGGTGGGACAAAGGACCGGACAGTGAATGGAGTCAGTCAGCAAGCCAGCAAAGCTTACTCAACTGCTGCTGGGTCACTAACTATGGGCCACTCTATCATCGATGACGCCAGAATTGGGGGAAGCTGGCCTGCTCCTCGTCATACGTCACTCGACGCTCATCCCGCGCCGCCTCCCTGATTCTTCTTTTTGACGAGAGATCGCCAGCTCTGCGACCAATAAATATCTTCATCCCGGGACGTTGTGGTCTTAATTTCTCTTGCTTAAGATCTCACAGTTCACAATTGTAAGTTGCTCTCACTGATACTTTACATGGTTCGTGGTAGAACGAGAGCTGACCTTGACTCTATAAGCAAACAACAACAACAATCAACGCTCGATATAATCTCTACCTCTCGCCAGGATGAAGCTTCATTTGGCTTCGTATCTGGTATTTGCGCTCGCAACCTTTGAGGCGGTTGGAGCTTCCAGCTGGTTTAGCAAGGCTGGTATGTCAACCTCTATACCATTGACTGCTTTGACTGCTCCCATGCCGAGACAACCGCTAACATCCATCAGTTTACAACAAATGGCATGAAACTGAGTTAGAAAGATGGCTTTCTGATCATGGTATGCTTCCCTTCCCGTATAGATCTTTCTCTGTTGCATAGTTAACGATGTCTATAGACATCCCGTACCCGTCGCCGGCCGATCGCAAGGATCTAGAGTCCCTTGTGAAGTCCAACTGGGAAGCTAAAGTCCAGAAGCCCTTGGCACATGCTACACATCACTCTCATGATCACTGGCATGATGCCAAGGAATGGCTCTTTGACACGTAAGACCTGCGAGACTGTCCTTCGTGTAAGATACTGTACTAATAGTCTACTTAGGTGGACCGACTCCCAGTTGAAGTCGTTCCTTGACCGTCATGGTATTCCTGCTCCCCAGCCTCGCAAGCGTGATACGCTTCTGAAAACTGCTCGCGAAAACTACGAGTCTATTGCCAGGAAGCTTGGAGAGGCTGTCGCCTATCCTGGTAACTGGGTATATGAGCAATGGACCGAATCTGATCTCAAGGAATGGCTTGATGAGCGTGGCTGGCCGGTTCCACAGCCCACCACGCGCGACAGGCTTATTGCATCGGTCCGCCGTAACGCTCGACTGGCCAGTTTGAATGCGAAGAGCATCGCTGCCTCTGCCTCCGCGTCCGCGGAAGCTGCGCAGGCTACTCTGAGCGATGCCTTGTTCAAGGCTTGGTCCGACTCCGATCTGAAGAAGTTCCTCGATGAGCACGGTGTCAAGGTACCCCAGGGATCTAGACGCAATGAACTCATGGCTCTGGCGAGGAAGCACCGCGCCTCTCTGGTTAGCCAGGCTTCGGAGGCCTCTGCCACCATCTCGTCCACCGCTACTCAGATCATTGGTGCCGCAACCTCCAAAGCTGGTAACGAATACGAAAAGGCCACAGATGTTGCTCAGGCCAAGTTCCAAGACAGCTTCGATACCGTCATTGAAGGATGGTCCGATTCGCGTTTGAAGGCTTTTCTCGATGCGCGCGGAGTCCCTGTGCCTCAGAGCGGCAAGCGTGACGAGCTCCTTGCTAAGGTGAGGCTCCACAGCCACAAGGCAGCCACTGGCTGGTCTGCTTGGACCTTTGATACCTGGGACACCGAACATCTGAAGTATGTCACTCTAGATTCAATATTATTACGGGAATAATCTAACATAAATCTAGGAAGTACCTGTCCTCCATGAACGCCAAGGCAGCCCACCGCGCCGACATCACTCGCGACGAGCTTGTCAAGCAAGCTCAGGAGAACTATGCCAAGGCATCCAAGGCCGGCGGTGCAAACTTCGCATCGGCCACCTCCTACATGGCGCAGGCCACCGATGCAGCCAAGGGTTCCGCTTTCGACAGCTGGACTCATTCCGACCTCAAGGCTTACCTTGACTCGTACGGCATCCCGGTTTACCAGGGCTCCGGAATCAACGAACTTCGCGCCGCTGCTCGTCGCAATGCCGAGTACTTCCGCTACGGCACTTCGTCCCCCTCGGGAACTATCTTTGCTAAGATGCAAGAGGCCGGCCAGTGGCTTCTAGACCAGTTGAAGATTGGCGCGTCCAGTGGTCGTGCCCAGGGCCAGGAAGCCGCAGAGAAGGCCAAGGCTAAGGGTTCTGAGGCTGCTGAGAAAGCCAAGGCTCAGGGATCCCATGCTGCTTCGAGCATGCGGGTCGAACTGTAAACAGACCAACCCGGCTTCTGATACTTTTCCTTCGATGTTATTCATGTTTACGGGGGGCGTTGTTCAAGGGATACGACGTTATGACATCACATAATGACTGCGGGTCTTGAGAGGGGGTGGAGGCGGTCTACGATATTCACTGAATCCTGTCTGGTGCAAAAGTTGGGGACGGAAGGGAAGGATGAATAGTGGAAGTGGAATTCTTCGAGTAATAAATTTTAGTAGTTATTGATATTTCAAATCGAACAATGCAACCAAGTGTACAATAACCCGATCATATCAATGTCAGCTTAAGATCCCGAAACCATTGAACTGAATCGAATTGATCCTCATTCAGCATGACTTAAATACCAACGCTTTTAAAAAAGTATATGAATCGCTTATACCGAACTCGATGATAATATCCTCGGTCCCTTGAAACCATCTCCAAACGTACATCTATCTAGCCCTCTCCGCCCAACGCAACCCACAATCCCAGCCCATCAGACCCATTCCACCATCTAACAAATAAAGGATATCTGATCAAGCATTCTTAGCCTCCGGATCCCCCTCAGCCACCAACTTCCCAACAACCAAATACTTCTCGGAGAAGCGCTCCTCCCACGACTGCAGATTCTCCAACTGCTCGTTATCCAGATCCTTCAGATCATCCAACGGACCCTTCAGATCCTTGGTGAGCATTTCCTCGTCGAAGCTCTGGCATGCCAGACCGCGGGATGCATCGCGACCGGCGAAGTTCTCGTAGGGACCGCCCTGCACGTTTCATAGATTTTCATTAGTCGCCTATTGCTTCTTTCTTCCTTCAAATGAGGGGAATGGGGTTTAGGGGAGGTGTGTATGTACCGGTCCGTAAAAGTTCCTGCCGGGAGTCACGTCGAAGACACGACCACGGACAGCGAGGTAGACGGGAGCATCATTCTCGCCGTTGAAAGGGAGGAGCGTGGTTGGGGTGAAGGTGCGGAAGACGACGGGGGGAGGACCCTTGGGGAGGCTGACGGGGGCTTTGGGACGAAGTTGGAGGTAGACGAGGATGACGAAGAGGGAGAGGAGGATGAGGTTGATGGGGGTGGCGATTGTCATGCTGAATTGTTGTTTGTTTGTTAGTGAGGGTTCCTTGGGGAGAGTAGAGTAGAGGAGAGGGTGATATGTTGGTGGTGGGTGAGGATAGTAAGCAACTGACACTTCGGCGGGCTGCGGGACAGCTTCGTCTAGAGGGATGGGGTTAGTTACTTTGTTTGATTGTTATTGTTGGTTTAGGGGATGGTGTAGATTTAGGGATTTACCTGGGGTAGACATGATGAGTTGAGTGAGTGGAGATTTGTGATATAGATTGTGTGTCAACGTTAGGTGAGGGGGATAGAGAATGTGATGGAATCAAGATGATGATGATGCTGGAGTTGGAGAGCCGCGGAACTCGCGATCATGACGAAGTTGAGGAGGAGCCAATCAATGAAGGCGGATTGAGTGCGGAGAACAGGGCCGATTACGGTACTGATACGGTACGGCACGGGGTTATCGACACGTGATAGTATGCATGTGCATGCCTGATGGGTCAGGCAGGAAATAATCTATTGGAGTGTTTGTTTACTCCGTTACTAAGTAGTTACTAACTAACTAGTGTTACTGGATAATCTTTGCTCGGACGATTAACCCAAAGAATCTTAAGGCAGAGAAGATCAACTGATCGGACCATTCCTGAGAGACCGTTTGAGAGTCTGTGCGACGGAGATTACTGTTATACTAAATTATACTAATTTTGGGATGCTCCTCTAATTGCGATGGAGCGTTGGGCTGCTCTCGACCATGGGGGCAGTTAAAATTAGAATCGAAGGACCATCCTCGACTAACCGACTGACTCTGAAACAGGATCCTCCCGGCTGCATCCAAGTAGTGCTGGTGCTGGTGCTGCTGTCAGTTGCTTCTCCGTGCTCCATTCATTTCTCATTCATTAATTTTCATCCCTTCTTTACTAACTACTACCATTACTTACTCTTTTCTCCGCTTCTCGCACACAGGCAAACCGGTTTGCTTTCAAAAAGAGAACCACCTTGATCAGCTGTGTTTCTTTTCTTTCTTTTTCTTTCTTTCTCCATTCTTTCCCCTCGCTTTTGCATCTGCGTGCGTTATTAATTTATTTTTTCTTTCTTTCAAAGCCAATTGTCTGGTCTTATCTGTAGTATAACACCAGCTTTAGCCCTTTAATCAATTGTTCACTCGCTCTTCTCCACTAGTTCTCCTCCCTCTTCGTCTTCTCTTTACTCTCTCCCTCTCCCCTCCCCTTCGTTCTGCTGTGCTCCAATTCAGCTCTATTCCCTGACGTGCAGGCATGTCAGCTGCATGAAACCCACCTCGATTCGCCACAGCATAACTATATTGCTTTTTTCTTCTTCTATGTTAATCGGCGACCGTTTTGTGTCACTCCTTGCTTAGCCATTCCACCACGATCTAGAAATACTTTAAAAGGTATGCGTTGAGATACGGGTCACATTCCGGACCTATTCGACTCTCGTTCTAGCCTCGCGGGGTCTGATACTTATTTGTTGAATCAGTTTAACCACCGA